ACTGATAAGTCTTGCGAATTAAACGCTATAATCGTTTCCTAAGCTATTCCGGTAAACCGTAAGCTAGAACTACACAGCGACTTGAGCACCAGAGAGAAGACGCAAAGTATGAGAAAAATACTTTATTTCAAGATTCGTTTTTGTACAGAAAACATGGGCACTTATAGATGTTAGCATTTGTTAAATCAACATTATCTTTCGGCCAATCCGTTAACGATATATTAGGCTACTGACCAATAGTAGCACGCCACGTTGGAGTTAATAATAACAATAATAATAACAATTTATTCCGAAATAACAGTTTGTTACATGAGGCATGCCAGTTTACAGGCAAGATCAAATTTTTACAAATGATACAATACACACTGTAGTAAACTACCCAGCTAGGTTGATAATTTAAAAGATATGAATGTAGGTGATTTTAATCAGTACCACAGTTGGCATGTTTCATAAAAGTTGCGTTGCGAATGGGCAGCCGGTGGTCAAGGATAGGTCCATTGAAAGTGGGAGCTCCTAGAAATTGCAACCTTATATCTCTTTGGAATATCTAAGGCTTTAAGGATGGTGCAGGATGTAGTCATCCGTTCCATATCTCAAGGGGGCTGAAAGAGGGATCAAGTAAAAGAAAGGGCGAGAGGCAGAGTAGCCAATATTCATGAAGGAATGTTTCAGGTATGAATACTCAGTCTAATTTTCTTTTATTAAGGTATTGTTGGGAAAGAGCATTTTGATAGGTTGAAGAAAATAAGTGTTAACAAATTATGAGTGGACATACAACTTACAAATGGAGGCGATTCAGAAAGAAAATGAGAGTATGGGTGATCATAAAATATAGTTCTAAAAACAATATTGTGATATACAATTGACTATCTTTCTATTTTATCGAAGCAGTTGGAGCCCTTTTCATCTTCTTTTTTGTATTATTATTATTATTGTTTTTTAAGCTATCACAAGGTGTTGAGTAGGCTTCGTATATTATCGAATTGTCTAGTTTGCTTGTGATAGGATTACTCGGTTGGAAGTGAAACCAATTCAACGTTCTTAAGACGATGTAATGAGGTATTTTGCATGATAAATCAGGAATAATACCTTAAGTTCGTAACATCCCACTAAACCAGAAGGAGCCGTAATTAAACAAAATGTTCTGCCCTACAGACATGAGTGGATTGAAGTTTTCTCCCCACCATCATGTTTGCTGGTCAGTAACGCCACCCTCCCTCCTTTTGTGATGTTAGGCTCTCTTACGTTTGTGGTAAGAATGAATACTGCTTTAATCAAAGCCCGTAGTTGGAATACACTGTCTCTACTAGTTCCATGTTACGAGCAAATCAGATAGTTAAAAAGGTTTTGTTTTATGAATTAGATGTCCACATAGTATATCACACTGCTATGAAGATAACTAATGGTTTAAAGAAGTAAGGACTAATAGCCAACCAAAGGATGTGAGAGGGTATAAAATTGTAGAAAAAAAGATTTTAGGGTAACAAAAATAAAACATTGAGAAACTCACAAGACTTTGTGGCCAGATTTGTATGATCGGCCTTAATAGATCAGCGTCCATAAGATTAGTGAGTTATCTGTATACTTGCAATAGAAAAAAAGGCATGACTTTTATGAAGAATAATGTACATTTAACCTGTAGAGAGATTTGGGAACTGAAAGTGAGGGTTAGGAGCATAAGGCCATGATTAATAAACAATGAATAATAGGAAAGGATAATTCATATATTCCGTGATTTGGTTATATTCATAATAATAAGTTGGGAAACATTTTGTGAACCAACAAATGTTGTAATTTATAGATCATGCCAGTAGAAACGGTGTATACCTGCACATGCAGAAATATATTATTATTATAACAGTCGGGTTCGTTATATTCTTACTCTGTCTAATGATAATAATAATATATTTCTGCATGTGCAGGTATACACCGTTTTTACAGGCATGATCTATAAATTACAACATTTGTTGGTTCACAAAATATTTCCCAACTTATTAAGTTTATAGTTGTTATAAAGTGAAATCGTAGAGCGCTTGCTGTAAACTATGACCTTGAGAGAAGGCGTACATCGAGTTTGTTCCAAACGTCAGAAGTTTCATAGCTGTGCTCTCAGAGCAAGATTCTGAAGAAGAAAATAAGCGAAACAGAAGAGTAGCAAGGCACTTGGATATGAACGCCAAACGTTGCTTAACATAGTGTAGTAGAACGGACAGAGGTATAATAAATTAGAATAAATTCATATTATGTCTTGTTAGTGAAATGAAGTCAGAGGCTCCATATTAGAGAATGTATTAATAAAGAACAATGAGTTGTGATGTTTAACAAGTTGGAGTAAGCTCACATGAAGGAAGGGAAGTCAGGGTTGGTACAAGGGAAGCGGTCTATTAGAAGGGTGTGTATATATAGAGGGTGAAGTGTTAAGAATACTAATGACTATCTCTTTTGTTGTCTAAAGTTTTTTCCCTTTTTTTTGTTTGTCCGATGCCAGCCACACAATCCTAGTGTAAAAGTTCGGGTTAGCATGTTATAGGTTGTCTTAGTAGAATAGCTAATCCAGCATAATATTGGAAACATGAGTTTGAGTGGTGAGCGTAGGAAGACAATCTATATCACAGATTGATTGACTTATTCTCAATCATGAGGAGCCTGATACATAAAAAATGTTCTGTCCCCACAAACACGGGTGGATTAAAGTTGTCGCCTTCACCATCAATGCTTGCTGGTCAGTAACTCCACCCTCCCTCCTTTTGTGATGTTGGGCTCATTTAGGCTTATTTTTGTATATACGACAAACCTCGCACAACCCTCTGTTTCACAAACTGTTGGAAAGCACCATTTCTATAAGTACCATTTTACAAGCTTATCAGGCAGTTAAAAGCTATGGACTGTGGGTAAAGCATCGATGCAGTGCCTCAGTTGACTATAGTATAAAGTATAGTTTGCCAATCAGAGTATAGGCATTAAGAAGGGTATATTGCAGGATAGTTGTTTCTTTAAGCAGGCGGAAAAAGTATAGAATTATATGAGTCGTGGATAAGGGAATGAGTGGAGAAATAATATTAATTGCTAGTCAACATAGTGTACAGAAGAGTAAAAAGTTAATACAGGATAAACAGGAAGGAACTCACAGTAACTTGATACTGATGTTATTTTCTGTTGTCCTAATCAGTTGATTGGTAACAGGCTCCATAGATGCATGACCACTGGTAGTAGGCAGCCGATTGTGCGGACCTCTTGACGTTTTAGGGTGGTAGTGAGTGTCCCTTATCGACCGAGTTTAGTTTAACAGTAATGATAGGTCCATTAAGTTACCTGTCTACTTCAAGTGAAGAAATAGGGTGGAAAAAGTATTTAATACAACTGCAAAGTAGGAAAAATAAGGCAAACTGAACATGAAGTCCATTTTGGTCTACATTTGGAGAGAGCCTATGATGTCTGAGTGGGGCGCAGATGTGTTCGTACGTGCAAGATCAGTGCAAGTGAGAGCTTGATCAAGCAGTTTTACAAATGTATGTAATTCATCTGCCATGCGAGTTTCTGAGGAAAGACTGTTCCATATTATTGCATACTTGGTGAGGAAGAAGTTTTCCCGAGTCTAGATACTAGGCAGTCCGTAATAAAGTGCCTCATTGGTGAGTTTGGAGTTCAAGGAAATGTTTAAGCTCTTTACAGTCTAGAAATAGGGTTATTAGCATTTTGAATCTGATTAATATATCACAGTTACGGATAGGCATTAGCAGCCTGTTCCACAGTATTCAAGGGAGGGCTATTCACAAATTTTGTAGAGGGTTAGCTTAACCTCTGTTGTGAAAAAGTTTCTCATTATAAAACCAATTAGCCGTCTAGATTTAGAAATAATAGAGGAGGCATGTTCTTCAAAGTTCAGGCTTCCTGTGTAATTATTTCCTAAATCGTGTACTGATTCGAGTGTTTGGAGTTTATTTTTTTAAAGTGAAGTTGCGGTTTATAGAGATGCTTTCCAAAGTGCATGACCCCGCACTTAATGAGGTTAAATGGTAATTGTCATTGTTCATTTCAGATAGTTAGGTTATTGAGGTCTTTTTGGATCTGGGATACACTTTCGCTTAGTGTCTCAGGCTTATAGCTGTATACTATTTTGAGATCATCAGCATATAAGTATGGTTTCCCGAATTGTATGGTGTCACATATATCGTTTATATACATAAGAAACAAAAGTGAACCTAATACGCTTCCCTGGATGACTCCACTGGTGATTGGTCTTGGGGACGAGAGACAGTCATTCTACTTTACTATCTGTTTACGTTCTGTTAAGAACGAAGCAAACCATGAGTACAGTGTGTTGTTCATTCCGATGACGAGTAACGTTTTGTGTGGGACCTTATCAAAGGCTTTCTTAAAGTCTAAGAATAGGACTGATACACGGAGTCCTCTGTCTCGTTTCAGAGTTATATCATTCAGGTAGTCTACTAGGCATGTATCGCATGATCTGGACCTAAAAAATCTATGCTGGGAGATCGAGATGAGATTGGACTACAGCCGCCTTAACTACTTTTTTCATCACTCTGGAGACCACTGAAGTTATGTTTATGGGCCGTTAATTTTCAACTTTTGCTTCAGGTCCTGTTTTTATTTTAGGAATGATATGTGTAGTTTTCCAGGCATTAGGGTAAGACGCTGTAGAGAGAGATATCGCGAATAGTTTGAGAAGCAAAACACACATATCATCACCTTCACGTTTAAACATGCTAGATGGAATACCATCTAGCCTATCAGTTTAGGAGTGTTTCAATGTACTGATTGCCTTGGAGACATTTTGTACACTGAATTCTACATTAGTAATTTCTCAGGGAGGTACTAGGATTGGTTCTGAATCATTAAATGGTTTTTCGTTAGTCAATGAGAAACAAAAGTGTTCACTAAATAATTCTGTGACAAGCTTGGGATCTACATATACTTGTTTGCCTTTAATGAATATACTCCCTCTCGATTTAGAACGTCTAGGTTTATTTTGGAGTAGTATGGTGAGTGCAGAGGAGTTATTATTAAGTTCAACTACACGTTTTTCCTGTGCTACTGCTTTGCGTTTACTAATTGCCTCTTTTCGGACTAGTATCTCTGTAATTGTTACCAAAGAGGAAAAGTCATTTAAGTTCAGAAATCGAGTGCAATGTCTTTGAAGACGCCTTCTTGTACTGACCGGTATATAGAAATCTTTGGAGAAAGTAGGTCTACAGTATTCTTAAGGTGCGATGTTGTGATAAAATATATTGGTTAAGTTGTCGTTATTGTTTGCAGTAAAGAAAGTCCTCCAATCAGTGCTTCCGAGGTAATTGTGGAAGTTATTTCCATCAACCTGGCGATAGTTCCTACGAAGTGTTACAGTTTTACTTCTACCGTTGGTGATTTTTACATTAAGGCTGCATATGACTGTTATGATCACTACCTGGAAACTTTTTTTCAATATACAAAGTATTCGGGATGAGGCCACTGGTAAAGACTAAGTCCAAGATGTTTTGATGTCTGGTAGGGCTATTGACATACTGAGTCCATTTTCCAAGCTCTAGACATTCAATAAATGATTCATAACATCTCGGCGCTTTGACTGGGAGCCACGAAATTTCGAGCATGTTGAAGTCATCACAAATAAGCTTGCCTGTGAATGGAACAGATGATGCTGGTGTGAATACCTCCGATAATACCGCCATTTCATCTGTTAATGCGTTAGGTTGACGATAAACACAACCAAGCAGTAAGGTAACGGAATTCGATGGCTTTAATACAATCCACACTGAATCCTTCATTTTGTTTAGTTCAGGCATATCACATAGTAGTGAGCGTAAATAAGGCATCCTCCGTCTCGTCCATTCAATCTATCACTTCTATATAGGAAATAATTGTCAAGAGATATACTTCGGTCGGAAATATTGCTGTTTGTCCATGCTTCAAATATCATTATCAGTGATGATTGATGTATGAATACAAAAAGGGCTAGATCCGCCTTCTTGTTGCAGATCGATAGAGCGTTGATAAGACATATTAAGCAAGTGGCCTACTAAGTTAAAATGGGTGAGGGTATCTCGGATAAAGTCGTCGTAACCCTCGCGGGTGTGAGATGAGTTTGAATTGAGGGATCGAATGTTCTTCATTAGCTCGGTATTTTGATAGCTAGACTTAGTGGGAGATGTATCAAATGAGCTAGGGAAGTTGGTTGGAGAGTTTATCCAGGAGGAAAGGGTGGGAGTACTCTCTGATGGAAACTACGGAGGAAAGGAATTTGTGGTTTGAAATACCTTGGGCTATATGCTTCAACAGAGGTGTCACTAAGGGTCTTATTCCAAAAAAAACTTGTCCAGGCCTACTGTGGAGTGTATGGTTATTTGCAAAATACTCTTGATGATTCTAGAATGCTCCATCGTGCTCTGACTGGCTAGAACTCTTCGGTTCCCTTTTGGCCTCTGGAGGCTCCATTGAAGTTCTCCGGAAGCCGACTCAACAATTCTACAAAGATACAGAATAAGTTTACTTTGAATCGATTCAGAACTATTGGTTTCCATCATAATTCACACTGAAACATATAAAAGACCGACTTGCGAGAAGCGGACAGGCTTTCGTCTTGGTTGTTTATTTATTGGTTATAATTTTCACCCTCTATGAAATTCCGACGTTACGCCATACTTCCTGCATGCTCTGTATACAAACACATCAGATAGAGTGAAAGCATACAATTACCTCTCTCCACTGTTTCATTCTAGCAGTTCACCGGGTTACATGATTCCCATTTTTCTTCTTAACGTATATGAAATATTTAGGACAGCAATTGTGATCATTTGTTTGTTGTAGGCTCAACACATTTCATTAATTGATCATAGGTTCTTTACAAACTACAGATATCAAGCAATAATGAATTACGGATTTATTCTCCATATCCAATATTTTGTCTTTTCATTAGGATCGAGGGATTGTGAAGACCTTGATGGTAGTTGACACCATAAACTGGCTCCAGCTAGACAACCGTTGTAGATAGGAGAAAGAAACTCTTTCGCCCTAGTCATCAAATGTTTTCTGGTTTCCAACAGTAGTGTCAGTCAGTCAGCTACAACGTAAGACCAGGCGCATATATGCATCAGTTCAAGTTGCCATACCTCATTAGCACAACAAGATGAACACCAAAGTCATAGTAGTTACTTCAATGGTAGTAATATATAAAAGAAAGATTGTGTATAAGAATATAATACAGTAATGTAGCTAAAGCTAATTTGTATTGTAAACTATTTCACATTTTTTACATCACTGACTGACCTCAGCTAGATAACCAGTGAAACTATCAAGCACCGGACAGCTGTTTCATGATGGTACGGGGCTCCTCAGAAGCGGGCATCCACCATCTCACTTGAGATCGAACTGAGGACCTACGGGCTTAGTGTTCAGCTTAAACCTTTATACTATTAAATCTTCGTTCATCACTAGTGGCTGATTGCGACAGATTATTCTCCGTGTTCTAGTGAGATACCGTGACCGGTATAGTTCAACCTTGTGTGTCTGACATTTATCCACCAATGACATTGTAAGGTGTTCGCGTAATATCAAGGTTCGATTATAGCCGGTGATGTATACTTCTGAATCCAGACTCAGTAGTCTAATGTTGGGCGTTTGCCTTCATATCTGGAGGTTTTGAGTTCAGTCCTCGGTGGGGTCGTGAATACTCCCTGATGAGTAGTTCCATTCTAGAACGAAACAGCCGTCCCACGGTTCCTAATTTTAAAGATTTATGCAGCTAGTATCATGTTATGTAAACTATAAATCTCTGCAATCTAAATAAACCCCTATTCTAATTATCTCCATATTGGTTCACACACATTTTTATTTCAGAAAGCTTGGAATTCCTTTGAAATGTAATATGTTTTGGAATGCTTATTGATTGGTTATCTTCATGTTGTAATCATGTGATCAAGATGTGCTTGTTGTGGGGTGGATAACGAGTCAAGCGTTTTGATTTTTGTGTGGAACTTTCTTTACTAACGTTTTGCAGTTGAGGACGTTGACAGTGTTGTATTTAAAGTATTTTACGTATTTGCATCAGTTCACCAAACACCTGGCAGATTAAATAGTTTCGTTTGCATGATTTAGTTATTTTTTGTTCACTTAAACATTAACCAGAATGTATACACCTCCTTACCCAATACTACATAAACAACTGTTATATACTCTGTTAATGAAAAAAACATTCTTGAATGACACCCGTTCATTAAAGATGTCTAGAATTGGTCAGTTTTATTAGCAAATAGATTAAAATGACACCCTACAAATTAATTTATGTTTATTGCTAGATTTCCTCGTAAAAGCCCCCAGGAACTGTGAGAAGGTTCAAAAAATACTTCCGCCAGCCAGTGTTTGACAAAGACTTCCCATAAAAAGCTAAAAAAGATTGGTTTCGTGTCTTCTGATTAAACAACTACCGATATTGTTTCCAATTTTGACATATTTTCAGCGACTTACAGAATATCAAGATCACCCATAAATATCATTATTCTCTATACTCAAACTAACCTTTGAATTGAAGCATCTTTTCGCACTTCCTGCCTTTCGTTTGAGGTTCAAGCCTAGGGGATTTTTGAGGAACTAGAAAACGATCATGAGTCAATTTCGTGTCCAAGTACTGAATGGATCATTTAGCCTTACCGATGAATGGCCTCATGAATTTAAATGTGTGTAGTAGACGTTTGTTTCTTTTTATCTCGGGTGGTGAGACATTTTAACCTCCAATTAATTATACAATAGAAAATTCAAACTGAAGTTGGAACAAAATGTAATCGCTGCATGGAAATATGAGTTTGTTTATTTGGAACGACAGGATTTTGATTTACATTTTGTATTTTGATTTACATAGTGTTTTTGACAGATACATTTATGCATATCGTCCGTAAATTTTCATTTCTATGATTATTATCACTCTGCATAGGAGGATACTGCAACACCACTCCCGACCTTAACAAAGTTAATTCAGAATCCAGCATTGAATTGGGATTTCGAGCTTGACACATTTCAGAAACGTGCAATCCTTTGTCTTGAAAACAACAAAACAGTGTTTGTCTCAGCACATACATCTTCCGGTAAAACGGTGATTGCAGAATACGCCTGCGCTATTTGTTTACGTCGTGGTTCACGTGTCATCTATACGAGTCCAGTTAAAGCACTTTCCAATCAGAAATTTCATGATTTTAGGTTAGTTATTTTGTTGAATTAGTGAAATAATAGTTTTATATGTATTTTATCGTAGTTTATATATATGGGGATATACTAAGCACAGTTTTGTCTACCACTTATCAACTATTCTAGGGAAAGATTTGGTGAGAATGTAGGACTAATTACTGGGGATATCAAACTAGCTCAAGAAGCATCATTGCTTGTCATGACCACTGAAATATTATATAATATGTTGTGTAATGCATCTGAGATTATCAAAAATCTTGAAATTGTAATCTTGGACGAGGTAAGCTATTGCTTATCATTTACTTACCAAGGTTGTTTAATAAAACTATTTTGTCATAATTATGTTCTTTTATTAAATTACATATCTGTGAAAAATTCGGGCTAGACTATTGTAGATGATTGTCGAAATTTCTACATTTCGTACCACAAGACATTTAATTGTGATAAGTTTATTTGGTTTTAGCTCAAATACCTTCCAAAACAGATTAGTATTTCAACTAAAACAAACGTCATGGGCCCATATTCTTGAAATTGTTATCACGGTTATGATTATTTTATTACATTCTGTTGACTAAAAATTGCTATAAAGGTATTATTTTACGTTAGAATAAATTTTATTGCAATAAACTGATCACTGCAATTCATCGAAATCACAAACCAAGTAAAGTTAAACAACCACTGAAAACTCGAAAGTATCGGACAGCCGTCCCATCCTAGTGTGAGACACCCCGGAAGTTCACATCCACGACCCTGCAACAGGGAGTCGAACCTAGGACCTTCAGTCTCGCGTGCAAACTTCTAACCGCTAGACCACTGGGTCTAATATCAATCGATTTACGTTATTGCGCGATTATCTTCTCTAAAGTTTAACAATATCCATACATCCATACTGATAGTTATCATGTGCTCACTAGTGACTAGATTTGAGAGGAAATTCCTAGAATTCTATCATTGATGAGTATGATTTGATAAAACACATGTTCACCGATTTATGTGTCCCTGGTCGAAACTTTATGTTTACATTCGTACTTGTAGTTGTTTAATTGTTGTTGAGATTTTTACTTAAAGTTTCACACAAATTTAATATTTTACTTCTGAAATTTAATTTTTCCAGGTTATGTTCACTCTTTCTTCAGTGAAGAAATGGTTCATTAGCTAACAAATTATGTTCTACATTTGTCTAGTTTATCTGTTTACTTAATCAGCGATCACTGGATTAATAAACAAGCTTGATTATCATTATTACTATAATTATTGTTATTATTGTTACTATTATAATTTTTAATTTCCTTTCCTTTTTCTCTTTAGGTACATTATATTAATAATCCAGACAGAGGTTACGTATGGGAGCAGATTATGATAATGCTTCCTAAGCATATTCTACTAGTAATGTTAAGCGCCACTGTACCAAATAATTATGAAATAGCTGATTGGTTAGGACGTGTACGAGGTTGTGAGATTCATGTCATCGCAACAGATAAACGCCCTGTTCCACTGGAACATTACCTATATACTGGCATGACGGAACAACATACATCCCACCTTCACCTTATTGTAGACAAAGATGGTCACTTTATAGATTCAGGTAACGTTTACACGTCAGAATAAGGAAATAAGTTGTAACGTATTCCTTCATACTATTTGCGCTCGTGGGTAAAATACTGACTGACTCATTTTCATGAAGTTATCGATTTGTTTAACAATCTCATGTCAACGATTCTTTTCGAATGAAGAGCCATAACCTATGATGGTAACTATTTTCTATTGTATTAAGTTTGTATACTTTGTCAATAGGAATATAATTTGTCAGGTTACCACATGTTTACTTATGGTATCAAAACTTAATAATGCTTCCTAATAAGATTTTATTGGGTTTGTTAAGCGCCCCTGTGCCAAATCGATTAGACCCAAATTAACAGTAGTTCGTGTGTTTCAAGATTAGAAAGTTCCGTCAGAGCGAGAAGTCGAAAATGGAATACGATTTTATATCGTTATCAATGCCTACGCCCCAACAAATTGCCGACCGGATACAATTGAGGATTAGCACTAACACGAGTTAAGTGATCATAAGAAATCGCGTTTGACAGATGTCTAAATGTTATCTAGACATTTCAATGTGTTGATAAGGCCTCTATTTACGGAAGAGTCGCTTTGGTGGCCAGTGAGGAGTAATTAATCAGTGGTTGAATAACAATGACAGTCTCCTACCATGACAACCTGTTTTGGGTCAGCATTGCTTTCTGTGATGTCGTCGCCGATGAGATTTATGATTGGGTATTTTCGCAATAAATCAGTGAGTTTATACGAATTTGTCATTCTAATTGTTTTTGCGTATTGGATGTTGAATTTAATTTTGTGGTCGTTATTCAAATTTACGAAGTTGGTGAGTTTATCTGTCGATTAAATGTTCAGCGCGATTCCATTTCACTTGTGTCTCTGTGATCCATGTGGTGGTTCGCTATGTTAGAATTTCTGTAATTGGTTCGCTGTTATACGTCTTATTTCACATCTTTGCCTACTGTTATTAGCCTAACTCTATGTTGTACCTCAAAAACTATTGCTGCATTTATCATTAGGTGAAATACTTCAGCTATCGCCTGCTACTCCTTTGCTTTTTAATGCTTCACATGTTTATTACACTGCCTAACTTTTGTGTTTTTAAAATTTATACAAATCATTTACTGTTCTGTTACTACATGTAGTGCGTTTAATTCGTATTCATATAGCGAACACACTGTGGGGAGCTAAGGTTGAGGCTCCTCATCTCAGTGTTTTTCCCGTTCGATTATTTTCCTGCCAGCCCTCATTTTATCTTCAGCTCATGCTCGTATAATGCTTATTTCTAGGGTTACTGTACTAGTCATTTTGGGCGAAATCATTAATTTATGTACGAACCGATTTGAAAGAATATATCAGGCCTTGAATTTCTTCCTAAAATTCATCTACCCATAAATCTAATTGGTATTTTGGCACTAAATGATGTCAGTTCATAGTGAAAGCCCCAACTCTAATCCCTAACCCTGACATTCAATTGGCAATCTTTGTCCTGATTCCTCACACAAATCTACAACATTTGTGTAGTTTCAGCAAGTAGTTGGGCATTCTTAAGGTCATTTAAGCGCCACCTAAAGTTTGTGCATAGATTGAAGTCTTTCTGTCGTTTAGGAAGCACTTTATCAAACTACTGCTTGGAGACTGAGTCTTATTTTAACAGGTATTCTTGTATTTTGTCGTGCTACCTGGTATTCTTTTAACAAGTGAGCTTATCGTGTAGGAACTGCCATTGCTAGCACCGCTACTCTTATCAGTAGATTGTGTGGTCCTTCCCGTTTACTCACCTAAAAACAAAGCCCTCGAATGCCCTGGTACGGCCGAGAGCGGGAGAGTCCTCTCTCCCTCTCGAAATACTCTCACATGGCCACGCGTATACAGCATCTGCCAGGAAAGTCCTACTCACTGCCTTCCCTTGGCAGGGGTGTTTACGAAATTGAGAGGACGAAAAGCGAATGTCCGGTTCTTTAACCGAGTTGGCGGACACCAAGGGTCCATCTAGGGGAGTTTGAAGTCCCTGACTCCAAACCAATAGTGTACATGGGCTCCAGTATCCTGAAGGAACAAATGGCGTATGAACCAACTGTTGGTCACTGGCTATCATGGTACTGCACCTCTTCACGATTCTCCACTGCCTTGTGGATCAGACCTTTAGGTCGAAGGCTCCGAGTGTGGCGCCCTACTAATACCACCTGCTTCAGTTTGGGCTCCCGAGCAGTATCACAGCCCACACACAAATCAAGTGACACTTTTGGCGCTTATGCATTCGGTTCCCCTTTTTACCCATATTTATGTGTTCAAGTAAATAATAAATGTTCACCTTGTCCATCAAGTGTTCTGTGTTGCGATAATATCCCAGTCAGGTGGATAGGTCAAAATTCAAGTACGGGTTTTTATTTTAATTCCAACGATCGGGCTTACTACGGTATTATTCCGGTCACTTGGTGTTGGGTCTGACATGTACATGTTTTTTTACTTTGCAAGATGTTCTGAAATAGTCTGTCGAGAGTGATAACAGATGTGATACATCAGACGCATGATGTAATAGTCATCGAACAACGGTCGCTACTTTCATAATTTTCTTTCATATTTAAGTGCATGTGATACGACTTAGTGACCCCTTGGTATTTGTATTTTATTAGTATGTTATTGGTCATGCTCCCGTCAATACGTGTTTATCGAGTTCCACTTTTGACCCTAAAGTTGTTTCAAACGTTTCGTTATTGTGACTAGCGACCTTAGTATAATATGCGCTCACAATGCTTGAGACGACCTGTCTTGTCAGTGCAGGCCGAGAAAGTATTAGACTCTACAACTTTATTGCCTTTAACCCCTTAATTTCTAGAAAAACCCATCTATTATGCTTGATATTCAAGTGTTTGGTTAATGGTAGCAGTTTTTTTCAAATTATAAACCTGCTCTAGTTCTTACAAAAAGTGCTATCGTGAAATTGTTTGAATGTATTTACGTTCTAAAGCCAGTGCAAAACTAACATTGATTTATACTGTTAATAGCTACTAGATTCTTGCATGTGATCCATCATAACTGGCTGCATTAAATAAAATTTCCACAACTTGATGTCGCACTTGACTACTTTCCACGCATTCCTGGATCACTCTTTTCCTCAAGATAATTACATTGATTCGGAACCTAGCTACGAAAGATTAGCTCGTCAAGATGTAGAATGCACGTCTTATGAAGCAAAACTTACTCGTGAATGTATTGGAGGTCAGTTAAATCTCACAGATTTGTTTTGCGAAAATATTTTTCCCACCGAGTGTGGTGCCATCAAGTTTGGAGAGATGAAGGTTAGTTGAGTGTTTTCTTGTCATATTTTTAGACTGAGGCTGTTATCGTGCGTGCGATCGAAAAAGTTAGGGATAGTGTTTTTAACAAACTTGGTTCTCGACTTTCTCATAGTCGATCTGTACTCAGACCAGGAGCTGTCAAATATGAGTCAGCAGCGATTGATGTTGTTTTGGATGCCTCCCTCTCAGTTGTTTCTCGTGAGAATTTGGCCAATTGGACTGGTTCAACTGGAATTGGTATTAGTTCTTCGTCAATTACTGAAAGTTTGAATCATGGTAAGAGGGTAGATATAAATGGGAAAACAAAGGAGCTGCTGGAAAAAAGAATTCGAAATTCCAAACCCCAACCGTCATACATCTTTCAGGTACGTTTTTGTGTATTAATGTCTTAAATATACGGCACTATGTGTTCAAATAGTTATTTGTGCAAAATTTTAATGGGAACTGAATTTGATAAATATACTATATAACTGTTTCTTGACTTTACTGTACGCTTTCTAACCGTCACCCACCAGTAAGCGGAATACAAATAGTATGTCGCTCCTATTATCATGGTTGTAGCTAGCTGGTCAGGTATTTCCTAACGTTATATTTTGTATAGCTTAAATACTTCATACAAGAAAGTGCACTCACCACTTCCGATACCGCCGTCTATATTGTTGTGTATCGATCATTGACGTTTCTAATAACGACTAACTGTGGGATATAGTTTAATTGTGGATCATCTCGATTTCTTAGTGTACTTTCAGTTGCTGTGGGATTCCGACTAACCGGATGTCATGTGCAAGTTAATGAAAAGATATAACACCCTCACAACTGTTAACTCTTCCTTCAGCCACAGAAACATCCTTAGGGACTAATATACCGCTCGTTTAACTCTGAATCATTAACACACTCAAGGCTGATACTATATTATAGTAACTGGACCCTTTTTGGGCAATGACTTTAAACTTTACGAAGTCTACAGGCAATAAACTTTAATCATTGTCGAAAACGGTAACCAAAGTACTGTCTGCGTTAGGTGGTCGAAAGTTGTGCATCTGAGAATTAGTCCTTTTCTTGAGTTGTCATCGTTACAACATCTTACGATAACGTGGTAAAGTAACTATACAGAATCACACATGGTAACAACAAGTTTTGTTGTGCGCTAAAAATTGACTAGTTCAGGTCATACTATATGGTTCCTGTGACAATTGAACGACTGCTGCACTTTTGTTTTAATTTTAAAGTAACGAGTTTCAGTGTTCCATATGCTTCAACGTAACTATTTTAATAAATAGTTTTTTCGAACTGTTTTCATATTGTGAACCGAAATGTCCGAAACACGAATACTTAAGACTGATTTCTATATATCTTCTGTTAAAGCCTGTTGATAAAAGATCATGAGAGTACATTCCACTTAATCAGCATTTGTTTTATGTAGGGCGTTTAACTTTTAGTTTTCTTTAGCATCATTAACTCGAGTTATTTTTATGTTATTTTGATTTTAACCACAGTAATATGAATTTTCACACTTCTGTAGATTTTATTGGTGTGGATGTATCATTCAAAACTACGGATTGTCTTATATATAGCATAAGTTATTGGGGGAGTGGCCCCTTAGGAAAACCACCTGCTTCGGTTTGGGCACCCGGGCAGTATCACAGCCCCCAAATGCCCTGGTACGGCCGAGAGTGGGGAGAGTCCGCTCTCCCTCTCGAAATACTCTCACACGGCCACGCGTATATAGCCTCTGCCAGGGAAGTCCTACTCACTGCCTTCTCGTGGCGGGGGTGTTGTTTACGAAAATGAGAGGACGAAAAGCGAATGTCCGGCGCTTTAACCGGATTCCAAACCAATGGTGCACATGGGCTCCAGTATCCTGAAGGAACAAATGGCGAATGAACCAATTGTTGGTCACCGGCTTCCATGGGACTGCATCTCCTTACGATGCTCCACTGCCTTGTGGATCAGACCTTCAGGTCGAAGGCTCGGGGTGTGGCCCCCTAAGAAAACCACCTGCTTCGGTTTGGGCACCCGGGCAGTATCACAGCCCTCACACATATCGAATGAGATTTGTGTGGCGCATATGTATTTGGTGCCTCTTTGTACCATTATCTATGTGTTGAAATAATAATAATAATAAACAGCCCTCACACATATCGAATGAGATTTGTGTGGCGCATATGTATTCGGTGCCTCTTTGTACGAATATCTATGTGTTAAAATAAATAAATAAATAAATGTTGCTACATACTCATCATTCTGAGAAAAAGTCTACGTCATCGCATATAATTCTGATTTGTCATTTACTAACAAAGCACTTACCTTTCAGCTAGTAGGCTGCTGGTTAAAACTATCACTTAAAGCGATTTGAGCAACCGGAGAGAATCATTGGCCCTCACTTAAAGTGTAGATCAACACCAATTGCTTTAATCTGTACTTAGTAGATGAGTTTAACAATCCTGTAGCCTTTTTTCCATTTAGATTTTAATTATATTGTTGAAAAAGGTAGGAAGATACTTAGCACTTTTTGCATTCAGATTCCTGAGACTTCGATCCTAATTTAAATTACTACTAGAGAACACACTAGTTTCTGTTGATATAATCTAAAACTAGCAAATTCCTATTATTCCTCCTACATTGACTTTCAACACTAAACCTCCTCTTTTGGTTTCCTCCTCAAGTGTCACCATAGCCAACGATTCTAGTGCGTAAAACATTGTCCCAGGTCTACTGAAACCGCGCTCCAAACTATACATTGAAGCCTTCAACGTACACACCTGTGTCAAATCGGCCAGCAGGCATCCTGAGCTATAACCCTAGAATCTCGTACCATTGATGTATGCTGTGTCTCCGAAACACATACAGGATCCTAGTGTGGTCATTCACTTGACGTCAACTCGTCAAAACGGAGAGTCGATGGGATGCACTCTCGGTGTATCTGGTGACGCGGTGGCTAGTTTTCGTGGACTGGCGAGTGTAGATATAGTACTAAGTATGAGGGCAGATCAAGCACTATTGGAGTGGATCTCCGTTAACGGTCATCTATGTGCTGTTCGGCTAAACGGCTCCGTTAGAACTCGGAAGGATAGGGACACACATCGTTGCCTTTTCGTTGTTTCTGCCCACGCTCCCACTGACTGTCGTCTGGATGAGGTGAAAGATGACTTTTATAGAAAGCTTTCTGGACTTCTTTATGAATCTGAACGCTCAGACATAGTACTCGTAGCAGCTAGCTCAGATGAATCGGCTCTAGAGATCTTTAAGTATGGTGGTTCAATTTTAGCGATTAGGTTGACTAATATTTTAGCTAAAATCTGGGAGTTGGATGTAATCCCATCTGGCTGGTCATAATCACTTATCGTCCCAATATATAAGAAAGGGTTAAAATCATCCAGTGACGACCATAGAGGGATTAGTTTGACTAATACAGCATCTAAATTATTAGCGTCAATAATTATCGATCGTCTAACTAAGACTCGTGAACTGCAAACACGAGAAAATCAGGCTGGCTTCAGACCTGGTCGTGGCTGCATCGACCACATATTCACCATTCGTCAGGTTCTAGAACACAAGCATGCAAGCAGCATTTGACTCTGTAAACCGAGAGGTTCTATGGCATTGTCTGTCATTAAAAGGAGTACTTCAGAAGTACATAAACCTTGTGAAGGCTCTTTACTCTAACACTACTAGTCAAGTTAGAGCTCATGGCGAACTGTCATGTGATTTTGCAACTTCACGTGGTGTCCGTCAAAGCTGTTCGCTTTCCCCATTTTCGTTCAACTTCATCATAGACATACTGATGGAAATAACGCTCTCATCGACTGAATTTTGGTGCACTGATCTCCTACCAGGAGGTCCACTTATCGACTTAGAATACGCATATGATATAGTCCTGTTTGGTGAAGACGCTGATAAAATGCAGAGTCTTTTGGTAGCACTGAGTAGCAACGCCAGAATGTTTGGGATGCGTTTGCTCCTCTTAATGCAAGTTGTTGCTTCAGGACTGGCCTGCGGCAACGCCTGAACTAAGGATAGGGAGTTAAGTATTCGAACGCGTCGACAACTTCACTTATCTTGGAAGTCTGTTCAGCCCTAACGGGTTGGTATCTGACGAATTCTCGGCACGGATTCAGAATGCTCGTTTGACTTTTGCCAATTCACATCAATGGCGAATGCGAGCTATCCACCTATCAATTAAGGGACGAGTATATTGTGCGGCAGTTCGTTCTGTTTTACTTTACGGCTGCGAAACGTGGCTATTAAGAGTGGGAGATACTCGTAAGCTACTAGTATTTGACCAAAGATGTCTTAGAAATATTGCTTGCATCTGCTGTTATCTCCGGGTGAGTAAAAATGAATTAGGGAATGATGGTAAATCAGTTGATGGGGTTGTGAACTTTCATTGACTGAAGTGATTGGGCCACGTATTATGCAGGCCCAACCACCAATTATCATGACGCGCAATTGTGACCGATGTTAGGGATGGTTGGAAGAAAGTTAGGGGCGGCCAGACCGAAACGTGCCATCAGTGCTTGAAGTCACTAACTTGTAGTCTAAGCCATGTTGGTAGATGCAGACTACTAGGTTGGAGTCCGCGTGACTGTCGTAATCAATGGTTAGAGACTGAGTGACATGGCTGAGAATCGACCACAATGGAGTAGATGTATACAATCTCTGTCTTCCCTCAAACTATGGGAATAAAATCGCTCCATATCTTTCTTTCTACGAACTAATTCTTTCTTCCTGTACTATGTCCTTGAATGCAATGTTTCTTTTATATATTGCAACCACTGAATGAACTACTTCTATGAATCCGGTGTTCATCTTGTGCTAATGAGGTATGGTAACGGACTGATGCATATATGTACCTGGTCCTACGTCGTAGGTGACTGAATGACTTACTGATAGCGAATTACTTGGGAACTAGTATCGGTTCTATGGAAAGGTAAAAATTGATAACTTTAGTGTTGGCTACTTATGCGAACTGATATAAGTAGGATGTTATAGGATTTCGAAGTGAAATGCCTACCGACAGAATATTGAAATAAAGAGAGGAGGATGGGAAACAGAGCAATCGGATTAACACCAGAATTGGTCTAATGATGAAGTATGTAAAGGATAATTCAAGGAAGTTGTGCAGATAATGTATTTAATGTATGATAATCATATTTTACAGTCAATTGGTGATTTTACATAAAATAATGAATCTGTTTTCTTCCTCAAGTCTTCGTTCACTGCTGTATCAATGTTAATGGAGTTTATTTATCCGACTGTACAAACTAATTTAAAGTTTTCGTATTTTACTTAAAAATTACAATTAATCCACTGAAATACAAATAGGAAAATTAAATTTGTTTATCTCTCTATGGTGTAAATTTTTCATATTAATCTACTATCAAATAATTTCATACAGTTATATCAGTAGTCTTCGTAATTCTGATTTCTAGGAGGATACCACTTGTGAACTGCCACCTTTAACTAAACTTGTCGACAACCCGGCATTCAATTGGGAATTTGAACTAGATACGTTTCAAAAACAAGCTATTTTGTGCCTTGAGCGTAATCAAACAGTCTTTGTAGCAGCCCATACTTCGGCTGGGAAGACGGTTGTCGCAGAATATGCTTGTGCTCTCTGTCGTCGTCGGGGCACAAGAGTTATCTATACGAGTCCGATTAAAGCTTTATCGAATCAAAAGTTTTATGATTTCAGGTATAGTGTTTTCACCGTATTTTGGGATGAATCGCTTTTTAATTTGGTAGCTAATAGCTTCTTATTTTTTATATTTAGTGTGAAGTTTGAAAAGTGTGGTTCTTATTTTGTTTTCAGTTTTTAATAGGTGTCTTTAAATAAAAAATATAGTATTTAGTATTTCTGTTATTGTATACCATTTCAAATTGAAATCAGTGAAGGTACCGCTTGCGAAATCATACTACTTACAACCTAATAATCTCAGTTTGTTTTTAAGACTTTGATCTAACAATGAACCTTATCTACCAGGGATAAGCTTTTGTTTTAATAAGTGGTATTTTCTAACCTAATGGTTAGTAGCATCATGTGAACGGTGATAAATCAAATCAATAGTAACCATCGTTTTCAGGATCCCTAGAGGAATTTATTGTCTCAGGAACATGCGCTCAGACAATGTTTTAGTCCAAACGTACCCTAATAAAAAAAATTCAGTACCATATTAAAAATGTGTCTAAAGGTTGACCAGACATTCCAGTGGCGGATGACAGAGCAATCGGTGTAATAAATGATAACTGCAGAATTAAATACGATAAGGTAGTGGTATTATGCAAAACATTGGGCGGTTGTTTACACCTTACAAAGAAGCTAAGTAAGAAGCTGATAATCCAAATCATCGTTGAATATAATCAGTCAAGATTCCATGCTCACAACAGACAGCTGAAACGATTGATCGAACACTGACCAGTCTTAATTCCCTCATCATTTAGGCATGACGACGGTGAGATACAAGAACCCCTCTCTTATAAAGGTTGAAAATTTGGCGGTAAGTATTCGGTGCTTCTGTTCTTTTTACTGTGCCGTTCACTCATATCTAGTGGTCGTTCTTCTAGTTAGTTGTATTGTATGTTTGAACTTGAGGGTTGTGTTGAGATTTTTTTGTCGTCGGTTTATGGGAGTCATTAAAAATTTCCATTTGAGTTAGTTTCACAATGTACTAAACCACTTCGCTATCCTATTGTTGAGGTACGTATCTGTAGTGTTTTTATATTCTTTAAGTAATCCTGGCAACTAGATTTTTAAATGAAATGAACAGTGCTTAACTGTATATATCTTACATATCGTTTTTCAATAACTTTCTCTAGACAAACTTTTTACTTGACTGTGTGCTACACCAAACACTTTTATTTTTAATAATTAATCTGTAACGTTTGAAAAAACTAATTCGGGTAGTGAAAAGTATTAAATAACATAAAAGCCTAAAATTTAGCGTTAAAATACAATTCAATATGTCTACCTGATGCCAGCTGTAACTAACAGCAGACTGTTGCTAACCTGGTTTGCTGTCTCCTAACTACCATTTTCATATTTTTTGAAATGGATTGTAGACAAACATTTGGAGATAGTGTTGGACTTATTACAGGTGATATCAAACTGGCTCCCGAATCTACAATTCTAATAATGACCACGGAAATTCTGCATAACATGTTGTGTAACGATGCTGATGTTATCAGAGATCTGGAAATAGTCATTATGGACGAAGCAAGTATTTTTTAAATATTTATTGTCCATATGTTCATAATTCTCTTCATACTGGTTTATTTATTTATTTGAACACATAAATATCGGTACAAAGGCGCACCGAATAAATATGCGCCACACAAGTCACGTGATTTGTGTATAGACTGTGATACTGCTCGGGTACCCAGATCGAAAAAAATCCAACTCAGCATTTACATATATATTCATAAACCCAGCTGTATCCCACCGTATTAATTTTCCCAAAAACCTTATACGGGGATTTATAGTTGAATCTCTAGTTTATCGATCTACAATACTGGAATTAGTCTTGTAATTGGGCACACTTCGATTTTGGTTTGTAATCCATAAACCATGTGTCAAGCTTAAAATGCCTTTGTCAGTGAGTAATGTTTCAAATCCATGATCTAACAGTTGTGAACTAAGGACAATCCAATAAATTGCATAGGTCAATTTTCTTTTTACAGTTGTATTTCTGTAATTTGTGTCATTTTTTGATTATTTTAGCCTATTTAGTAACGTACTTTCTTAAAATCATTTCACAGAAACAAACTGTGCATAAATCTTTATGTTATCAAATTTTTATGACTTGGTAACATTAATCACAAATTTTACTTACACTGACACACCTAACGTCATTGAATACAACCTAGTGCAGTGACAATGTGCACTGCTGTCTTGTTCCAGATCATGGGCTAAATAAGATTAATAAGATGTTTAGTTAACTGAGAAATCTTATCATCAGGTCCACATATTTCCAAATTATTGTTTCATCTGTTACTATTTAGAGATAAACAAATCATTTGTGGTAATGATATATTGTAGTGCTTATCAGACTTCATATGTTCCATAACCGATTAACATATAACCTTATTAAAAGGTCTTTTTGTCTATATCCAATAGATAGAATGTGGCTTCCAGTAAAATCCAGGTTGTGCGTTCCGTCCCATTTGGGACTCGTCATCTGGATATATCTGCATCCTAGAGTTGATGTTCGCTTTGGGATTCGGACTCAGTACATTTCACTTGAAATGTTAACGGCACTGATTCCTCATAGTCACTCACTTGTGCAACGAGTTTGAATTTTAATCTAATTCGGAAAGGTTTGGATTATTCAATTGTTGATATTTCGACTGAATTTTGATCAGTGTTATCCATCTATTCCATATAAACTTGTTTCATAGTGGCTATTTTGAGGCAATCCCCACCGGGCGCATATATGCTAAGACGGATCAAAATTCAGTCAAAATATAAAAATCGGGACAATCCAAATCATAACAATTTAAATTTCGTATATTGTAACAGATTTTGAAAGCTGTGCTAGTTCTTCAGTGGAGGTACTTTTTTCTAGCTCCAATGAATAACTGTCGAAAGCCGACAATAAAACCCGGAATGTCCGTCAGTTCAAGTTTTAATTTGTCACAACACAGAAAAAGTAACGGAAATAGAGGTACATGAATACAAACGAAATAGACACAATTTCAGCTTAAATGCTACAATGTGTTCAATATGTAATTACAATCTGAATGTATCTGTTGGATTGCGATTGATCTCAGGTCATTATTTGAATTCATGATGGAATCGGATAATCTTCGGTGATTGATTCTTCTCGAGGATCTCATTCACGTAGCGTTCAGTGCTTGTATCAGCAGTTAGTGGCGTAATAATCACTCTATATCTCAATCTTTCCACACTTCCCCTCATTCTCTGACCCTATAGTACTCAGCAGTACACGAAGTGGCAACCTAACATTCTCAACGTATATCTTGACCGCTTTAGTCAATTGATTTATCTCTTGTTTTGGACTTAGCTTTATGTTGACACTGATCCACTCACTGGTTTTCCTTTACACGATTGTATTCTAAATACACCGTATATATTTTATGTCTGTTGGTCTTTTCTCACATTTTTTATTTATTTGAACACATATATATTGGTACAGGAGTGCGCCAAATATATATGCGCCACACAAAACAATGAAAATTTAAGAAGAAAAAAAACTAATGAGGAACGTAAAGAAAACAATAATGAAGATATTGGTGTAAGGGAATGTAGTAATAATCATAGTCATAATGAGGGAACGGAAAAGTACAATCAGAAGAAATCTTTCAGTTAAAGAAGAAACAACCACTTTTATGAAGAAAGTAAAAGGTTACAGCAGGATCGCCACTGGCTTCTATTCTGAGCCATATCTGATAATGTCTCTAGCCACTGTGTAGCACCATCTCTCAGACCCCAACCAGGGAGTCGTGAAGGACCGACAGAAGCCAGTCCTTTGCAGCTTTCTTTCATACCACGACACCATGTCATATACTGTATTTTAAATTATAGCTTACCGTTGCGTTGTATAGTTTCACTTTGATAGGTAGTTTATTTTTCGAATAAAGAGACTTGCCAGTGGGCTCATTCACTACGGTCTGTGCTGTCTGACTTAGTGACTGACTGCCACAGTGTTGATGCACCAACTAGGCGCCTTTATTGTGATGACCTAGTGAAACTATACTGAATACAGTGCTTATTTACTCAAGTTCTATCATGCTAAGAACATAGTTCTGAAAATAACTTGACGAAACGTTTTGTTTTGATGCAATATTTTCATGATCCAATCGTTATTTTATCACTGATGTTATCATTTGTGATTTCAATCTCTTCGTCAGCGTTTCTACCCATAAAGATGCTTTAATGTCAACCACAATGTATTTTGTTCGTTTTATTTTGCTAAGCATTTATTACAACTTCTTTATTAACTAACGTATTTGCGTTTTCTACTTGAAATCTTACTATTATTGTAAGCAAAAGTGGGATCCAGGACATGCGGTTCGTTCTATTCGATACTCGTCAACTGGATTAATGTCTACTCCGAGACTCAAATCCAGTTTCGTTCGCTTTAAACGTGATTGCGTTATCCACTTAAGTCATATCCCGATAAGCATAATAAATGGTAACTTTTGGATCCATTTATGGACCAATACGATAAGTATATTTTTATCGTATAATTGTTATGTAACTAAAATGTTCATATCCGTATCCCTCTTATTATGAGCTTTATTTTGACCTATCAACTATTACTATACGATTTACCATTCTTTAATTATTCTTTGTCTATTAATCACCACCTTCCCCATCCACAGCTACATTTGGCTAGTTCTTGCACAAATGTTGTTTCATATTTTATGGTACGGTGTGGTCTGTCTGGTTGGCATATAAACCCAGTATGCTTGAAATAAACGATCATATCGTAGAGGCTGAGATTGGTGTTCTGAACTTGACTGGCTGGGCTAGACAGGAGACAGGACCGATAAATACTCTAGACTGCTCGTACGGGTTTACGCGTCATTGGTCCAATCGATAATTTACTGCTCTCTAATTGGCGGTATCGTTACGCTATACATTAACAGTGCCCTCGGGCCGCAAGTTATAACAATTTAGCTACTGAATCCTGATAGCAATTAAGTGAAGTATTAATTCATTTTTATATTGTTTGTTCGAATCTTCCCATTGATGTTTAGAATTATAATTGATCAGTCTCTTATTGGCATATGTGCATCCTTTCCGGATTAATTGTAAATGTAGACTATTCAGAGTAGTTGCTAAGACTTCATAAGTTCATTTTATTGTGTAAATTTTACTGTTCTTACCTTGTTTAACTCATCAAGGAAACTAGATATTTTGATATAATTAGTCAGTCACTCATTTTTTAAATAATTTTAATCTCCAACTACTGTTATATTTATGAACGAAACAATTGTAATCTATCATAGTGGTGTTGTTTAATGTATTTACAATCTGTTTTTCTAATTATGTAGCCAACCAAGGTAATACTTACTTTTTATGTATTTTTTTAGTGCTTAAAATGTTTATATATATATATATACACGTATATTTCTCTTTCTCTACAGGTTCATTATGTCAATGATGTGGAAAGAGGTCATATATGGGAACAAATTATGATAATGTTGCCTAAACACGTGTTATTGGTTATGTTAAGTGCAACAGTTCCTAATAAACTTGATTTTGCTGATTGGTTAGGACGTGTACGTGGAACTGAAGTTCATGTAGTTGCAACTAATAAACGTCCAGTTCCATTGGAACATTTTCTTTTTACCGGTATGGATGGTCAACGTAGTAAAGATCATCTTCATCTGATTGTAGATCAAGCTGGTCAATTCAATTTACCAGGTTAAGCTGTTTTCTTTTTAATGGTATATATATATATATATATATATATATATATATATATATATATATATATATATATATATATATATATTGAATAGTTTTTGTCTTCATGTTCATATTGCTGTTCGTAAAGGTTTCACATTTAGACAAACATTTATTTTTAATCTCTTCTGAACCGTATGCACCCACAATTCCAGCTACGAATCGAACACAAAATCTATTTACATTTATGACTGATTTATGGTTGCAAACATTAATTCATGTGTTTATGTTTATCAGTATTTATTATCATCAATATTGTTTAAGTCATTATCGCTTTAATTCGTATCCTGATCCTAAAGGAACTGTGAATCCTCTTATTTTCATCCAGTAGACCACTAGAGCTCATATATCAGACTCTGAACACTTTCATTATCTGTATGAGATAAATATTATTTAATGTATCCCTTTTATAGAAACTGCAAAATCTGTTATGGAAAATATAACTTTTCTCTCTTCATTATAAGTGCAGTATTAAGTTCCAGTTTAAGATGTCGTTATTTTTCCGGTTTCTTCTATTTGCATTAGAGTTGTAGACATTGTAGCATTAGCTCTTAGACTTGTATAGAATATAAGAATACAATTAGAGCTATGTAAACTGTCATCTAAAAATTCACTTATAAATGCCTTCAAAACTATTTACAAACTAATTCACTAAAAAATAACTCCCAAAATATCATGTTTTCTTTTTCTCACACCTTTCTTACATAAATATAGGTTATAAACAGGCAAATCGTATGCTTAGCGGCGAAAAAGATGTTGATAAAAAGAAACCTACTGAAAATCCGGCAAATCCATCGAATGCTAAAAACGTACCACGAAAGAATACTGGTGGTAAAGTGAATACTCCAGGTCATTTCCGTGCATTACCACGTAAGCTATAGAGAATTATTTTAGGTCAGTATAAGGTTGTTGAGTTTCATTGAGATCAGGAACCGACCAATGTTAGACCACCATGAGAATCTGGAAGCACTGGATGATGGTTTCGTCCTAGTACGGGACTCAGCAGTTCGCGTCCACCGTCTCGCATGTGATAATCTAACCCAGGACTTTCGATATCGCGCGCAAACGCTTAGCCTCTCGACCATTTAGTTGAAAACCGACGGTGCTAATGTCTAACTTCAACCAATTCACGATATTGCACGACCACGTTTCATTTTCTTTAATGGTCTCACCTCCGTCACGGTTGAACTCCACTAGTCACGGCTTTTCACCGAAATTTGAGGAATTATCTCTCTAAGCTAGTCAATAGTGATGATATGATAATTATCAGTATAAAGTTGTGGAGCTCGTTAATTTATTCCAGGTTTTCATTGGTCGGTTCATAATTTCAGTAAAATTATTTGATCATTAAATGAGCTTCGTGTACACCTAAATCGAATCGCGAATCATTTTTTATTACTACACCACATGGACAGAAATTATGGGTTCAGAAAATTACTTAAAAATGGTGGAAACATTTCATATTGTGCGTTGTGTTTAAAAGTTAGCCTAAAGAAATCCTGTTGCATGTACATTTCTAATCGATTTTAGCTGAGCCATTCGAATCATTAGCGTTGGAGTTTTCTGTGTCTTATTTTAACCCAATATTCTTGTACATAAAAATCAGCATATCAACCAACAATATTTCACGCAGAAATCGTGAATGAATTAATAACATGTAACACTTGTTCTCTGATTGGTTTTCAGTGTTATCAAAAAACATCTTTCACAGTTCGATTAATATAACGGAACTACTGATCGCATATTAGATTCGATAGAAAATTTAGTCGGAGGCCAATCAAAGTTACGTAGAGCTTAATTTCAAGTACTGGCTATTTTAACATGAAGTGTGTGTGTTACTAACAATTTATATATTGTATAGCTCTCGTGATGATCAAATTAGGAATTACAACATATCAACCATAAGTAGCTTATCTATTGCATCATACTGTGTCTAATCTCTATGACAGAAAAAGACAACCATTACTTTATGTATATTCACAAGTTTTAACCCCTTTCGGTTTAGGTAATGGTGTTGCCTCACTAGCTTCCACATAAATTGTGTATCAAAGTCTTTTACGTAAACCCTTTGCTTGGCAAATGAGTTACGTTATTGTTTATTGTAATATATTGATTCGAAATTTTTTAGAATAATTATATATTTATTTGACTTCATTAGCAACTAACGGAATAAGTGTACATGATCATCGTACCAAAAATTTATGGCTTGGAGTAATTCACCTTCTTCAAGAGCGTGATCTTATGCCAACTATAGCATTTGCATTTTCTCGATCATCATTGGAAACTCTGGCTGGTCATTTATCTTCAGTGGACTTGTTAAATTCAAGTAATCAGTTTTTGACTTTAATGCCAATTATATTATTGTTGATGTTTCTTCTAAATATATTCATCTATCCGTTAAGTGCCTTTTATTGAAAAGGTCATTTAATTGGCCATAGAGCTCATCCTTGAAATGCATCCACGTTATAATCTATCGGGTCGTAGGCAGAGATTACGAAAAGACATTATTAGCCACATTAGTTTTTTCTCAGTTTCATCCATCCTACTAAATTAACAATACATGAGTAACCACCAACGGGAATCCGATCGATAAATCCTAGCTTAGCTCTGATAATAGACGCCAATACTACAAAGTTCCTGATAAGATTCACATGGTACAGACGTAGATAATCGACAGATATAGATAGTATAGGTTGTACTTCGACGAAACCATTAATACACGTCTCGAATATACATCATTTATCAATATCAAAAATTTTCGTGGACTAAACCTATAAATTTTTTGATTTGGATCAAACTTGGAGCGTTGAAGGAGGCATGGGATACGTAACTTTAGAAAATCTGATAGATCTCATATTTATTAATAACATCCTTGAAATTAACTATTCAGCAACTTTAGACCGTTTAGACTAAGATTCAATAAAGACGACGTGATTAGTAAATTGAAGAATAAAAGTACACACAGAATGTTAGTAAAATAAAATAAATTATTTATTTATTTGAACGCATGAATATTGGTACAAAAGAGCGCCAATATATATATGCGCCACACAAAACAATGAGAATTCGAAGAGAAATAGAAAAAAAAGCTATGGAGCGCAAAAAAAGAGAACAACAACGAAGAGATTGGTGTAAGGTAGTGTGGTGGGAATGAGGGAACGGAAAGGTGCAATCGGAAAAAATCTTTCAGGTAAGGGAGACACAACCACTTTTTATGAAGAAAGTAAAAGAAGGTTACAGCAGAATCGCCACTGGCTTCTATTCTGAGCCATATCTAATAACGTCTCTAGCCACTGTGTAGCACCATCTCTCAGACCCCAACCAGGGAGTCGTGAAGGACCGACAGAAGCCAGTCCTTTGCAGCTTTCTTTCATACCACGACACCATGTCATGCACTGACCACATCTCCGCTTCTTCCAACCAGTCCCAGAGTCGGCAAATAATGCACGACGTGGAATTCTCTGGGACGACATTCGTAGAACATGTCCAAGCCACCGGAGTCGGTGTTTCAAGATGGTGACACCAATTGAATTATCATCTCTGTGCCCGAACACACGATGCCGAACCTCTGCATTACTGACATGGTGTTGCCACTGGATGTCAGCAATCCTTCGGAGACAGCTTTCACTATATGTGCATTGATCTCGACACTCAATCCACCACCAGCACTTACGCAGCTACCTAGATACACGAACTTCTGGACTACTTCTCTCTGCTCACCATCCAGGGTGAGTACAGGATTGGAATCCTGCCAGTCTTGTAGAAGTATTTTGCATTTCGAAGGTGCAAAGCACATACCATACCTATGGACACTGATTGCCAATTGATTAAGTGCGGATTGCATGGCTTGGGCATTATCACACAGTAAGACAATATCATCCGCATACTCAAGGTCGAGAAGTCTTTCTCCAGGCAACAGATCCACACCACCATTACTTACATTCATCAGAGCTGTTTCCAGAATGTCATCGATGGCAAAATTAAAGAGGAATGGTGAGATTGGGCAACCCTGTCTAACCCCACTGCTCGAATGGAACAATGGAGAGAGGTGATTGTATGCCCTCACTCTACCTGAGGTGTTTGTATATAGGGCTTTCAGGATGTTAATAAACTTCTCAGGCACACCCTTCTTCAATAGACAATCCCAGAGAACAGTCCTGTCCAACGAATCGAAGGCAGCTCTGATGTCAAGAAACACTACGATTGTTGGCCTTTGATAAGTATGGCGATGTTCTAACATTTGGCGGAGGGTGAAGATATGATCAATACATCCTCGATCAGAACGAAACCCAGCCTGCTCCTCACAACTCAATCTTTCTCGGGTTTTGAACAACCTACGAAGTATGACGGAAGCCAATAGCTTGGACGCAATCGGAAGTAGACTTATCCCCCGTTAGTTGTTGCAGGAACGACGTGAACCCTTTTTAAAGATAGGGACAACTATCGACTCATTCCATGAAGTTGGTACGCTCTCTAGTTCCCAAACCTTTGTAAACAACGTCGTCAATTCCTTAGTCAAAAAGTTACCACCATCTTTAAAAAGAGCTGGAGGTAAGTCATCTGGGCCAGGTGATTTGTAACGCTTCAAGAGTTGGAGTTCCTTGCGTACTTCCTCCTCGTTTGGTGGATCAGTCGTCACCGGCCATGGAGGGCAGGAAAGTCTGACCGATGTTGCCGGAGCAGCAGGCCAGTTGAACTGCACTTCGAAGAATTCTACCCATCGTCTAAGACGTCGATGGATGTTAGTGATTGGCATCCCATCATCCTCGCAGATTGTTTCACTCACACCAGACTTCTTGCTGCCAGTGGCTCGGATGAGCTGGAAGAGCTTCCGGTATTTACCAGATGCAGCTGCTGCTTCCAGCTCATTAGCACGCTTCGACCACCAGGTTTCTCGGTCCTTACGCAAGCTTTGCCCAATTTCCTTACGTAACATCCTTCGTTTATGGTCAAACTCACGGTCACCCGTAGTAGACCGACGGGCTTCAATGAGTTGTAAGGAACCTGCGGAAACCCAGTGCTTATAAGCGGGACGTTTCGCGAACCCACAACTGACTGTACCCGCCATTTTCATGGCGTCATGCGATTGCAACCAATGCTCATCTATACTTTTCGGTGGAATGGTAGCTAGCCTAGAGGCTAGCTCGGTTCGATACTTACTAGCAACAGAAGTTGCAACCAGCTTGCTAATATCAATCCGTTGATGGCGGTCATTTCGTTGTCCACTGAAAAGTAAGGCAAGATTGGCGCAGACCAAGGCATGGTCAGAGTCCAGATAGGTACTCCAAAAGGAGAGGCAGTCTTGTACACAACCACGTCAGCGATAGCTGATCGCGATGTGATCAATCCGAGTCCAGGCTTGAGACGCTGAGGGAGGACGCCAGGTGGCACATCGGCGATGACTGTGCCGAAAGTTAGTGCTAGCCAGAAACAGGTTGTGGTCTGTGCAAAGTTGCAGTAGACGGTTTCCGTTATTTGACCTGCAACCAACAAGTTCCCCGTCGGCCACCTAAACGACTCTCTTCTGTGCCTAGACGCACGACCTGCGCATTCAAGTCTCAGGCTAGTATTAAAATATTTGTCGAACGCACTTTCTGGAAAAGAACAGATAACGAGTGGTAAATCTCATCCTCGATTGCATCCGGGCTGCAATCTGTCGGGGCATAGGCGGAGATGACGAAAAGAAATCGTTTCTCACGCCGATTTCTTCTCAGTTTGATGGAACTTTCTAATCTAACAGCACATAACCGACTGTTAATGGGGATCCAATCGATTAGTGCTACCTCAGCTGTAGCGCTTAGTGCGACACCAACGCCAGCAAGACCAGACGAAGATGCCACAGGGTCCCCGGATAAGCGCACGTAAAACAAGCTTTTTGAAGTGACAGATGTAGAGCGAATTTGTAGTACTTCACCAGAGTCTTGAATACGGGTCTCGGATAGACAGCAAACATCAATATTAAGACTTTCCAAAGACATAGCCAGCCCTATCTGTTGTCCGACCTGCATAAATGTGCGAACGTTGAAGGCAGCCAGTTTGAATGGCGCACGTGGTTTCAAAAAAACTGCTTCAGTACTCATCTTCGGTGGTAACATACAATTTTCAACCGGACAGTGACTCGAGAACGTTTAGATACAGTCGAATTTCCACCAAAGACGAGCCGCTGTATAAGTATAAAAGAGGGTGAATAATGTGGATAATAATAATAATAATAATAATAATAATAATAATTTGAATCAGTTAATTGTTTTTCGAAGCGATAAAAGTAGTTTCCATAGACATAGAGAGTTCATCATTTGTGTGTGGGCTGTGATACTACCCGGGTGCCCAAACCGAAGCAGGTGGTTATCTTAGGGGGCCACTCCCCGAGCCTTTGACCTAACGGTCTAACCCACAAGGCAGTGGAGCATCGTAAGAAGATGCAATCCCATGGTAGCCGGTGACCAACGTTTGGTTCATACGCCATTTTTTCCCTCAGGATACTGAAGCCCATGTGCATCATTGGTTTGTGATCCGGTTAAAGCGCCGAACATTCGCTTTTCGTCCTCTCATTTTCGTAAACAACACCCCCGCTACGAGAAGGCAATGAGTAGGACTTCCCTGGCAGAGGCTGTATACGCGCGGCCGTGTGAGAGTATTTCGAGAGGGAGAGCGGACTCTCCCCACCCTCGGCCGTACCAGGGCTTTCGGGGGCAAAATAAAATAAAACTTCATCCGATTTAAAATAAATTCACTTCAAGTAAAACGATTTCAAATATTGTTATTATAGATAGTAAGGCGAAACGCGCAGTACATTTTGGTCCCAATTATTCATCATCGTACGTGTGTGAAGTAGCGTGCTGCCCTGACACCCAGACCCAAAAATCACTACTTGAGCTTTTGACTTAAAAGTTCTATCTACCTCAGTGAAACAATGTCAGGAGATATTGTCTCTTGGTAACCGCAAGCTGAGTAGTTATGTACGGTTTTCGTTCCTTCATTTTCCTGCAGTTCATGGGCACTATGATCAATGTTGTTATTATTTTAAACTAGACAACGTGTTTCTTTGTTATTATAATATAATATGCTTCAATACGAAGTTGAGTTTGCCTTTATGTTTTTTTTTCACATCTAAAAACAGGTGAAAAGCAACAAGTTAAAAATTTTCTACATTGTTCTGTCACTAAACGATTAAAAAGATGTGATCGTCAACTTGCTTCAGTTCAGTTTATTAGTAAATTAGCTGTTAGAGGATTAGCTGTTCATCATGCTGGAATGTTGCCTATTTTGAAAGAGGTGAGAGTTATGTCTTATAATTTTATAAAATTTCTTAAAAGCTATTTGTCAACGGACATTTTCTGCACGTTAACTTTCAAAAACTAAAGGTGGGACACTAATTTTAGTTATGGACCTTCAAATTACCCTCCTTATACTCAAACGTCTACAATGTATAACATCTAGCTAGACCTATATTTTCATTTCACCTCAACCATAGCAGAATATAACTTCTGAGACTTCATCATTATCAGTCTGTGGCTATTGGCTATTTACTTGTTTACTACTAATATCATATATTATATACACACCTCGATTCTTGTTGGATCTATTTTAGTAGACTTCACTTCATGAACCTTGTTTGCCAATTATAGGCGTCTATGTATTGTGTTTTATTCGGATAATCCCTTCAAACTGATCTGAGTTTTTGATCAGATCAGTTAATAATAAAAGACAAACGTTCGTATGATAACCAACAGGAAGCCAATTTAACTAACATAGTCTCTGTACTCCCATAGTTCATGATTATTTCATGCATTAATGGTAGCTAGAGAACAGTAGATCCGGAATAACCAATATGATTTCAGGTGTATGCATCAGATTACCGTCTTTGTTATCTTCTTGAGACACTGAAAAATTTTACAGCTTCAAACATCATCTATGTTCATTGACTTATAATTCGGCATTGGAATCAGTTTATATGGTAGTTGATGGTGTTATTTACTTATGCTATACGATCTTATTTGTAAATAGAAAGTCGTTGCATCAATAATAAAGTTATAGAAAGTCACGTAATAAATAGATAATGAGATGCACTAGGAAGAAAATAGTTTTTAGACGAATAGGTGTGAATGATAATTGTATTTATGATGAATGAACAATCAATGGCTAGTTTTATGGGTCTCTTCAGGTCTCGCACGCGGGATCTGGACCCGGGACCTTCGATCGTTAGTACACACTGCTGAATAGTCCCATGCTAAGACGAAACCGCCCCCCAGTGCTTCCAGGTTTCATGGTGGTCTAACATTGGTCGCTTCCTGATCCTAATGAACTTCATACGTTGAGATAATTGATTTGCTTTAGCCCATGATTTTAACAAATGACTTCTTATAGTTTCCTTTGTTAACTAAAGTGATATAACTCAGAATCGGTTTTTGTCGTGTAGATTCATTCGCTGTCAGTCTTCCTTTAAATCATAAGCTTTAAAGTTATCCTGTACTTTTTATTTTGTGAATTTATTCTTTTTTGGCGAATCATATTGTCTAGACGTAATCTGTTCTGCTACAATTGATTCTGTTACTACTTCTACTACTGCTTTGCCATTTGTCCTAAGATGTGGTGTGATATATGACGCGATTCATTAATGTTCCAAGCTCTACGTTATTTATGACACTGTTACTGCCATGATTGGGGAGATTATGAGATCACTTCAAAATCGGCGAACGGAACAAAAGATCAGCAACACAACGACAAGAGAAGCTATACTATTTCACTGCTCCCCATATTCAGTCGTAGGGAAAGTATGTTCTACAAGCAGTAGAAAGTACTAGTGAACAAGCACACAAATCAAGCGTATATATTCAGCATAAAAATGTCCCTGATAAACATCGCAAAATAGCGTATTAAAAGTGAAAATGAACCCATAAGGGAAATACAAAGTAAAGGTAAAATAAAAATATACGCTTTGGAGCAAAAATGAGAAATTCGAATTTTCAAAAGTAAAATTACAAAAATAAGATGTTTACCAGGTGATTTCTAGAAGCCTATCATCCCCAACAGTTAATTTGTACATTCATTTTTCACTTGACCGTTTTGTATTTTTATTCATGAAAGCGTGCTCTGTTTTGTTACTTTACACAATATTAGACAGTGGAAATGCTATTTCGACGTGGTTTAATCAGAATCTTATTTGCTACTGAAACATTTGCGATGGGTGTAAATATGCCGGCTCGTTGTGTAATCTTTACCACATTAGAGAAATTCGATGGTCAAAAACGTCGTCCTTTAAATTCAAGTCAGTGTTTATTTTATTTTATTTCTAGTTTCTTTTCTTTTTCACGTTCTTAACCTTTAATATTGATAGAGGAAAGCTTTTATCTGATAATTCAGTAACTTGGCGATTAAATAGTACTAGACTAGTTCAACCATTTCATGTCACGTTTTTATTTCATACCACCCTTATGTGATTTAAGCAACCTTATTATATAAAGAAGTTTCACTTCTGTACTTTTATATCCACTGGAATAACTCACTCGAGATCAGTCCCGACCGAAGCTGCTACCTTGACGCGGTGGTCGGGCTTACCTATCGTGATGAACCAACCGAGCTATATTGGCTGGAACATATGTTCCTGTAGGTTCTACCATGCCAGGCAGGTCGATTGGTGAACGGTAAGACTAAAAGCAGCAACTCAAGGTCTGAGGGCGAAGTCGTACTGATGACTGTAGAGAGGTGTGACAGCAGTAAGGTGTTTCCCTCAGACAACCAGCATGACAGCGATGCTGCCTTCCCACAAGGAGGGGTGGGGTTAGAAAAGGTCGACCTTAAAAATGTCACACCTCACCTTACCTCACGGATTTCCGTCTCCGGCGGTAAGGCCCTTTGAAGAACGGAGCTAACACGTCAAAAACCTACCACAAAAAGGCCGCGCGACCGGCCTCAAGCAGTTGTCCCTTGGGCTCTGCGGTCAAGCTCCCAGGTCGTCAAGACCAACACTAATCCAATATCATTTTCAGGTTCCTCAAGAAATACCCTTCCACGGTGTGGGCAGCCGGGAAGTGACATCAGCCTTCATACCCGTAACAACACACGAGACCAAGTTAGTCACATTCAAATCCTTCCTACACCTCCTAATACCTCTCTTATCTCCATGACTAACCCTCCTCACGTCTCTTTATCACCTCGTACCGCTAGGGCAAACGATTCGAGTACGTGGAACGCTATTCCTGGTCTCCTGAAACCACGCTCTAAACTACACGTAGGAGTTTTCAACGACCGAACACTGTGCCAAATAGGACAGCAGGCTTCCTTAGCTAGGACTTTAGAATCCCGCGCCATCGATGTGTGCTGCGTCTCCGAAACACGCATACAGGATCCGAGTAGCGTCATTCATCTGACCTCACCATGCCAAAATAAAGAAACGACTCGATTCACACTTCGTGTATCTGGAAGCCCTGATTCTGCTTCCCGTGGCCTCGCCGGCGTAGGTATAGCATTGAGTCCTAGGGCAGAACTAGCTCTCTTAGAGTGGATTCCAGTAGACAGCCGTTTGTGCGCTGTCCGACTGAACGGAACAGTAAGAATCCGGAAAGGTAGGGACACCCGTCGTTGCCTCTTCGTCGTTTCTGCCTATTCTCCCACTGACTGCAGCTCAGATGATGTAAAAGATGAGTTTTACAGAAAGCTTTCCTACCTTCTCCGAAAGCTAGGCGCTCTGATGTAGTAATAGTGGCCGGTGACTTTAATGCTCAGGTAGGTAAACTAAGCGATAGGGAAAGACACCTAGGTGGATCTTATGGTGTCGTGGCTCAAAGAACAGATAATGGCGACCGTCTGTTGCAGCTATGCTCAGATAATCGCCTGTTTCTTGCAAATACTAACTTTAAGCATAAGGAAAAACATCTTTTAACATGGAGACCCCCTAATTCGTCCCAACGTTGAACCCAAATATATCACATCGCCATCAGCCACCGATGGAGGGGCTCGATAGAAGACTGTCGCTCATTCTGGAGCACATGCTTAGATTCAGATCATGCTCTAGTGCGAGCGCGTATTTGCTTGCGTCTTACTGGACGTAGGAAAGACGCTGCAAGGAAACCTCTTAGGGGCCTACTTAATGATAGTCAAGCTAAGAGTATATTTCAGGAACAACTAGGAAAACAGTTAGGCAGCCATGTATGTGATGCCCACCTCGAGGCAGCATGGAATGAAATCCGAAAAGCGGTGGAAACAGCAGTGATATCTGCTAGTAAGTTAAATCAGAAGGTTAGGGAGCAACACTGGGTCTCAGCAGCATCTATCGCACTGATAGATGCTCGGAAACTCATTCCACCTGGCTCTGAACATAATGAAGAGCGGAGTTAGCTTAAGCGCAAGCTAACAAGAAGTCTACGCAATGATCGTGAACAGTGGTGGGTAGCGAAAGCAAGAGAGATGGAAAAGGCAGCGGCAATAGGTAATAGCAGACAATTGTTCAGACTTGTTAAGGAAACCGACTGTTAGCGAAACAATCTCAGAGAAAGATGGACATATTATTCATCCTCAATCCAGGAGATCGGATCGATGGGCAGAACACTTCAGGGATCAGTTCAACTGGCCTTCAGCCACACTTCGGTTTCCCATGATCTCTAGTCATACTGAATTTAAGTCCTCCGTCCCTTTACGAAGTTGAAAAAGCCATAGGAAATCTGAAACGAAGGAGAGCAGCAGGCCCTGACAGGTTTACTCCTGAGATTTTTTAAGGATGGTGGTCCAGTATTAACAATGAAATTAATCGAGGTCTTAGGTAGAATTTGGGAACTGGACGTAATCCCATCTGACTGGTCTCAATCACTGATTGTGCCAGTCTATAAGAAAGGACAAAAGTGCTCTTGTGACAATCACAGAGGAATCAGTTTGACTAATATAGTGTCTAAAATATTAGCCTCAATAATACTTCGACGCCTAACCAAAGCTCGTGAAGAGCAGATTAGAGAAAACCAGGCCGGTTTTCGACCTGGACGTGGTTGTATAGATCAGATATTCACACTACGTCAGGTTCTAGAACACAGACAGACGTTTAGACGCCCCACAATGGTAGTATTTCTCGACCTTAAGGCGGCATTCGACTCTGTTGATCGTGAGGTTCTATGGCAGTGTTTGTCACTGAAAGGAGTACCAAAGAAGTACATTAACCTTATCCAGGCTCTCTACTCGAACACAACTGGTAGAGTGAAAGCTTATGGCGAACTGTCATCAGAATTGATTACATCAAGTGGTGTTCGTCAGGGCTGTCCACTCTCCCCATCCTTGTTCAACTTTGTGGTCGACGTACTTTTAGAGATAACACTCTCCTCATCTAAATTTCCAGGGGTTGAACTTCTACCGGGAGGTTCACTTGTTGACTTAGAATATGCCGATGACATAGTTTTATTTGGTGAAGACGCTGACAAAATGCAGAGTCTTCTGACCACTCTAAGCAACAATGCAAGCAGGTTCGGGATGCGATTCTCTCCCTCGAAATGCAAAATGTTGCTTCAAGATTGGGTTACATCGACACCCGAACTAGTGATAGGGAGTGAAGTAATTGAGCGTGTCGACCGCTTCACTTATCTTGGAAGTCTCATCAGCCCTTGTGGTCTGGTATGTGACGAAATCTCAGCACGGATACAGAAGGCTCGACTAGCTTTTGCCAACTTGCGTCATTTATGGCGTAGGCGAGATATCCGTCTATCAACCAAAAGACGGGTTTACTGCGCAGCAGTACGTCCCGTCCTACTTTATGGCAGTGAAACATGGCCGGTAAGAGTAGAGGATATTCGTAGGTTACTAGTGTCCGATCATAGGTGTCTTCGAAACATTGCTCGTATATCATGGGATCATCGAGTAAATAACACAGTTGTTAGGAAACGGGTACTAGGTAAGGATGGCAAATCAATTGATGACGTAGTGAAACTTCATCAGTTGAGATGGCTGGGACACGTGTTACGTATTCCCAACGACCGACTGCCTCGACGTGCGATGTTCAGTGGTATAGGAGTAGGTTGGAAGAAAGCTAGGGGCGGCCAGACTAAAACATGGCACAAGTCCATGAAGTCACTGACAAGTGGACTGAGTCATGTCGGTAGGTGTAGACTACCTGGTTGGGGACCGCGAGATGATAGCAACCGATGGTTAGAGACCCTGAATGACATGGCTCAAAATCGTTTGCAATGGCGCAGGTGCATCCACTCTTTGTGTTCTCCCAAATTCTAATCTTCTGAATTCTTCATGTCCCTTTTTTTCCTCTTTCCAAATTTATATTACTGAATTATATTCTTTAAATAACATCTTCAAACCCTAATCTTCCCGATCACTGCTTACACTCTTGCTACCTCTACCACTACGGGATTTGGATCGACAACTGCATCTCTGTGTTAAGGTGGTGTGGCAACTCGAACTGATGTACGTACGTACGAAGTTCTACGTTGTTACTGACTGATTGACTGACTCGAGATCAGTGAAGATTAGATGACTCTCTTGGCTTCTCCAAATATTTATCATATGAGTATGTATCTGAAAAATAAGTGATTGCTCACTAAATAATGACTAACTTGCGTTTGAAAGTGCTCATATTCATAGAAATAAACTCAACAATAACAGTAAATAAGCGGACAAACGCGAAAGGGATCATTTCAATATATTCGAACAGATGAGAATTGTCTTAACCAGCATTAGAATAATTATGCGCATTTCTGAGGAGTCCCATACAATGAAGAAACGGCTGTTTAGTGCCTCCAGCTTTTCAGTGGTGGTTTAGCTTTGATAGACTCATTGATTCAACTGTGAAAAATTACTACAATCTCCACAAATCTCCATTCTGACAACGTGCAATTACCAATTGATGAAGTATAAGCAGGAGATTACAAGTTAAAAAAATACTATTTACTCATGAGTAACACACTTATAGCATACAAATCTCACATATATGTTACACATTGTATTACTCTACATTATTATTAAGTTAATGGTATTTAGTTTTATATTTATTGAACAAGACCATTATTTTTTTAATTGTTGATATAGTTTATCTGTTGAAAATGAAGAAAGATCGAGTTTTTTAGTGAATTCACCATTTAATCATCTGTACAATTTGTAACTTTTTTAAAAGATTAGTTGAAATGTATACATTTGCTTGTTTTATGCTTATTATGAACATTATCATGAAGATTTCTATGGTGTAACTTTAAGTAAATTTCATCTTTTAGGGAAAGCTTTCTGAATTATTATTGTCCACTACTTTTGTTAGTTACTATAGTTATGGATATCTTGCCAAATTATTGCCAGATTATATATAAGGCAGTGTTGTTATGTAATGTTTATTGATCACCAAAATATTCTTTAAATTCACAGTTGTACATCGATCAACCTCTTGTGTACTGTAGACTAAGGTGAATACAATTCGTTATTGCCCAATTTATGTAGAGAAATTCATTATAGTTTATTGATAAGGTATTTTATGATAAATGGATTTTGACTGACAGTAAAATCCAGGATGCCCTTTTCATTCTAGAAATCGCAAAGTAGTTATATCAAGATAATCCGTACAAAATGAACATGTCCCGACCGTTGTTGCTACCTTGACGTGGTGGTCGGGCTTGCCTATCGTGATGAAGCAACCGAGCTATACTGGCTGGAACAACCGTTCCTCAAGGTCCTACCATGTCAGACAGGTCGGTTGAAGAGCGGTAAGACTAAAAGCAACAAACCTAAGGTCCGAAGGCGAAGTCGTACTGCTGACTGTACAGAGGTGTGACAGCAGTAAGGTGTTTCCTTCAGACAACCAGCATGACAGCGATGCTGCCTTCTCACAAGGAGGGGTGGGGTTAGAAAAGGTCGACCCTAAAAATGCACACCTCACCTTACCTCACGGATGTCCGTCTCCGGCGGTAAGGCCCTTTGAAGAACGGAGCTAACATGTCAAAAACCTTCCACGGAAAGGCCGTGCGCGACCGGCCTCAAGCAGTTGTCCCTTGGGCACTGCGGTCACGCTCTCAGGTCGCCGAGACCGCCTCTAATCCAATTTCCTTTTCAGGTACCTCCAGAAGAACTCTTCCACGGTGTGGGCAACCGGGAAGTGATAACCGCCCTTATACCTCTAACAGCACCCAAGACCACTGTATTCATAATCAACCTTCCTCTTCAATTCCTATTATTCCTCCTACATCGACTTTCAACCCTAAACTTCCTCCTTCGGCTTCTTCCTCAAGTGTCACCATAGCCAACGATTCTAGTGCTCAAAACTCTGTCCCAGGTCTACTGAAACCTCGCTCCAAACTACACATTGGAGCTTTCAACGTACGCACTTTATGTCGAATCGGTCAGCAGGCTTCCTTGACTAAAACCCTAGAGTCTCTTTCCATCGATGTATGCTGTGTCTCCGAAACACGCATACAGGATTCCAGTGTGGTCATTCACTTGACCTCACCTCGGCAAAACGGAGAGCCAACGAGATACACCCTACGTGTATCTGGTGACCCGATGGCCAGTTCTCGTGGACTGGCAGGTGTAGGCATAGCACTAAGCATGAGGGCGGAACAAGCACTGCTAGAGTGGATCCCCATCAACAGTCGTCTATGTGCTGTTCGGCTAAACGGCTCCGTAAGGACTCGGAAGGATAGGGACACACGTCGTTGCCTTTTTGTCGTTTCTGCCTACGCTCCCACTGACTGCAGCTCCGATGAAGTGAAGGATGAATTTTACAGGAAGCTTTCTGAACTTCTTCAGAAAGCTAAACGCTCAGACATAGTACTCGTAGGGGGTGACTTTAATGCCCAGATAGGTAGCTTAAACCAAACAGAAAGGCATTTAGGTGGATATTTTAGCATTCCGGCACAGCGAACAGATAATGGTGATCGTCTGCTGCAACTGTGCTCAGACAATCGCTTATTTTTAGCAAACACAAATTTTAAGCATAAGGAGAGACATCGTCTAACATGGCGACCCCCTACACCAAACCAACGATGGACTCAAATAGACCATATTGCCATCAGTCATCGTTGGAGAGGGTCGGTAGAAGATTGTCGCTCATTCTGGAGTACCTGCTTGGACTCCGATCATGCCCTAATACGGGCACGCATCTGCTTGCGCCTCACCGGACGCAAAAAAGCCACATTAAAAAGACCAATTAGAACTGAATTGAGCAACGAGAAAACCAAAAATAGGTTCCAAGAACAACTGAGTTCACACTTAAGTAGTTCTGAACACGAGGCTGACCCAGATGTTGCTTGGAAAGACATACAAGCAGCTGTGGAAGCAGCAGTGACATCTATTAGCAACTTAAACCACAGAGTTTCAAAGAACCAGTGGATTTCTTCAAAGTCTATCACACTGATGGATTCTCGCAAATTTGTCCCATCAGGTTCCGAACATGATGAAGAGCGACAACAAATCAGATCTAGGTTAAGAAAAAGTTTAAGAAACGACCGTGAGCAGTGGTGGGCAACGAAAGCAAAAGAGATGGAAAAGGCGGCGACTATAGGGAACACAAGACAACTTTACAGACTAATAAAAGAAACTGGAATTAATAAGTCAAGTGTAAGTGAGATTATATCGGAAAAAGACGATACTCTCATCCGCTCCCAGTCCAGACGTTTAGAACGATGGGCGGAACACTTTAGGGAACAGTTCAGCTGGCCTTCAGCGACTCTACAACTACCCTCCATTCCCAGACAGCGTGAATGGAACATTGAAGTAGGTCCCCCAACTCTTACTGAAGTTCAAAAGGCTATAGATAATCTGAAACGAGGAAGGGCAGCTGGACCAGATGGACTGGTTCCAGAAGTCTTTAAAGATGGTGGTCCAATTTTAGCGATTAGGTTGACTAATATTTTAGCTAAGATCTGGGAGTTAGACGTTATTCCATCTGACTGGTCACAATCACTTATCGTCCCAATATATAAGAAAGGGTCAAAATCATCCTGTGACAACCACAGAGGGATTAGTTTAACTAATATAATATCTAAAATACTAGCCTCGATAATTATCAGACGCCTAACTAAGACTCGTGAACTGCAAACACGAGAAAACCAAGCTGGTTTCAGACCTGGTCGTGGCTGCATCGACCACATATTCACCATTCGTCAGGTTCTAGAACACAGGCACACTTATCGGCGTCCGACGATGGTGGTCTTTCTTGACTTAAAAGCAGCATTTGACTCGGTAGACCGCGAGGTTCTGTGGCAGTGTCTGTCATTGAAAGGCGTACCTCAGAAGTACATAAACCTTGTGAAGGCTCTTTACTCGAACACTACTAGTCGAGTGAGAGCTTATGGCGAACTGTCATCTACTTTTGCAACCTCAAGTGGTGTCCGTCAAGGATGTCCACTTTCCCCATTTTTGTTTAACTTCATCATAGACCTACTGATGGAAATAACTTTCTCGTCGACTGAGTTCTCGGGTATTGATCTCTTTCCAGCAGGTCCACTTATCGACTTAGAATACGCAGATGACATAGTCCTGTTTGGTGAAGACGCTGACAAAATGCAAAGTCTTCTGGTAGCACTGAGCAACAATGCCAGAATGTTTGGAATGCGCTTCTCTCCCTCGAAATGCAAGTTGTTGCTTCAGGACTGGTCTGCGTTAACACCTGAACTAAGGATAGGGAGTGAAGTAGTCGAACGCGTTGACAACTTCACTTATCTTGGAAGTCTGATCAGCCCTAATGGGTTGGTATCGGACGAAATCTCAGCACGAATTCGAAAAGCTCGTTTGGCTTTTGCCAACTTATGTCACCTGTGGCGAAGGCGAGATATCCGTCTATCAATAAAAGGACGAGTATACTGCGCGGCAGTCCGTTCTGTTTTACTTTACGGTAGCGAAACATGGCCATTAAGAGTAGAAGACACTCGCAAGCTGCTAGTATTTGACCACAGATGCCTTAGAAATATTGCTGGCGTCTGCTGGGATAATCGGGTAAGTAATAGTGAGGTTAGACGCAGGGTATTAGGAAAGGATGGTAAATCAGTTGATGAGGTTATGAATCTTCATCGACTGAGATGGTTGGGCCACGTGTTACGTATGCCTGAACACCGATTACCACGACGTGCAATGCTATCCGGTGTTGGGGATGGTTGGAAGAAAGTTAGGGGCGGCCAAACCAAAACGTGGCATCAGTGCTTGAAGTCACTAACTTCTAGTCTGAGCCATGTTGGTAGATGCAGACTACTTGGTTGGGGTCCGCGTGACTATCGTAACCAATGGTTGGAGACTCTTGGTGACATGGCTCAGAATCGATCACAATGGCGTCGGTGTATACACTCGGTTTCTTCCCTTAAACTAAGAGATTAAAAGCGCTTCATATCTTTCTTTCTACTAACCAATTCTTTCTTCTTGTGCTATATCTCTATATGCAATCTTTCTCTTATATATTACCACCTTTTACCTAACCACTGTTATGAATCCGGTGTTCATCTTGTTGTGCTGATGCGGTATGGCAACCTGGACCGATGCACATAAGTGCATGGTTCTACGTTGTAGCTGACTGACTGACAAAATGAACATGTACCAACAAAACCTGATAAAAAACTTAGTCCTATTTGTCAACAACGGAATAATTCCAACCCTCACTAATAATGGCATAAACATCGTACTCATTTAGAAATTGGTGGCTATATGGATTTAGTAGTTCAGTGGATAATGAGGTATTATTTGAAGAAAGGTGTGGTGTTCGAGTCCTAATGTAAACATCAATATTTGGATGCAGACATATTTGTCTGACAAGTTTTAAGTAAGACGATTAGTGCATCCTAGATTCCATTACTAGCCACAATTCTTTCATTCTAAAATAATCCTAAAAAATGGCAATATCTTTTTATTTCCTCGTTTAAAAAATGTTTCATGCTTTCAGGTGAGTATACACAAATGGCTGGACGTGCAGGTCGTCGTGGTTTAGATGCTTCCGGTTCTGTAATTATTCTACTTGGTGGAATTGGTAAATCACTTACACCAGGTAGTTCGGGTTTACCATCTGAGCATACACTATGTGATATTATTCTTGGAAGACAAACTCAATTAGTTTCGAAATTTAAAATCACCTACTCTATGATATTACATTTACATCGAACTAATTGGTTAACTCCACAGGTAATTTCGTTATTGATAATAAGTGTATACATTAATTTTATGTGTATTTTATTCTATTTTTCATGTTATTTTGTTTTTTTTTTTACAAAAAATGATGATCTATTCAGCTGAAATCCAATGTGCAGAATTGTGTAATAATTTTCGTTTGTTTTCCTTCATCTGTTTACGTGTATGTGGTACATATTCATTTGCCTGTTTTGCAACGAAATTAATATTCAGGATTTAATTTTAATCTCTTTACTCCTTTGCAATTACTCTTTTAATATATATATGCATAAACGAAGGATGTAATGCGACGAAGTTTCATGGAAGCAGCCAATCTTAGACGTGAACTTGACCGTAAGCAATGGTTGTCAGCTTTACGCAAAAAACTCGATGAAACAACTACTCTTATACCACCTGCTGGATTATCATCAAATATATCTCATCAAATTGCTCGTAGTTCAAATAGTAAAGTTACAATATCTATGAATAATAATCCTCGTTTATCTGTACCAATCGGTGAACCTATTTTACAAGTGAAATGCCCTTTTGGTCAAACAAGTTGTTGTGATACAATGACTACTTATTATCAGGTTAGTTTGTTATATATATATATATATATATATATATATATATATATATATATATATATATATATATATATATATATTGTTTATTATAATATTGGTGTTGTAAACTTCCAACAAATTATTATCTTCATGGTGTTAAAGTTTCACGGAAGACATTTTATTCCTAGACGATCAAATCTCATAAAAGCCTTATGGATTGGTCCTTTTACTACCTCCCAATTTTCTTTGTTATCAGACATCCAGATTGTATAGGAGAATTAGAAAAACACTTTTTCACGAGAAATTTCATTTCAATCATATTAAATTATTCTCATATGGCTTCTATGAACACACCCTGTAGTTCACACACATAATTAAGAGGCAGATACACTAAAAAACCATAGATACGCATTCTATGGTAATTACCCTATATTGTTAATATGGAGACTAAGCACTATCAACTGGTCAAAAAATGAACGATAAACAGATTTGCGTATTTCGGATTTCCTTCTTTGTTTGATGCTTGTAGATTGCTATTTGTCAAATTTCAACTTTACACACCTATATACTGCTGGTACTGTTTTGTTTTGGATTCATATCGTTACCCAGTTGATCTCGAGTGCTCTTAGAGATATGGGGACGGTTTCACTTCACGGCTCTCCAAGTCATTGAAGGATATTCCTTCTCGAGGGACTTGGAAAGGAAACTAAGTTACCCGGGAGCGTAATTACAGATCACGAGGAGCAACTGCTTAAAGCCGTTCACACTGATTTTTTATAAGTGAGATGAGTACTTAGCAAATTTTATCACCGGAGACGAAAATCCATAGGGTAAGGTGTGACATTTTCAGGGTTGACTTTTTCTTACCCTTTCCCTCTTTTGTGGACAGTCAGTAGTTGCTAGTTGTTTGTGGTGAACAACTTATTGACATCATCCCTCTCAAAAGTCACTAGTATGACTTCACTTTCGAACATTGAGTTGCTGCTTTTAATCTTACCATTCCTCAACCGACCTCAGCATAGTAAGACCTAAAGGTACATATGTTCCAGCCACTGTAGTTTGATTGGGTCATCATCAAACTCAACCATCTCATCAAGGTAGATGTTACGGTCGGAGTTGTCGATGATTGCCAGAAATTAATCACAATGTAAAGTAACCAATTTCATATTATCTATAGTTTACTGCTTTTCAATATATTTCTGAAGTTATGCTTTGTTAGTCCAAGTATTTTCTTCAGCGTACCAAAAAAGTGACATATTTCAAGTTTTTTTTTCATGCATCCATGTACTGGTTCATGTTTTTGTAATTGTCATCACTACATTTACCTTTATTGTTGTAGAGATTAAGTTTCATAATTGTACTATGACAGGGTGATGGATGCGAATGCTGAAAGTATCCTCACTTAAATGTGTTATGCCTTTTTTTCTTATTATTATTATATTCGCTCAGAATACATAGGTACATAAGTTGTCATCAGCTTGCACATTTTTGAAATATTTTTACTGTATTTTCTTTTTGTAAAGATTTAATTCCGGTACGAACTTCTTTGGGGAAATAAAAGTCAAAATTTACTTGATAATGATTATTATTTCCCTGAAGAATCTCGGAGTTGATCGGCTAGTTGTATATCGTTGAAACTTATGAAATTTCAGTCGGTGAAAGTTTCGCAAATATAATTTCACATTTAATGTGTTTGTGTACTTTTGTATGTGAAATAATTAGCTATATTTTCTCTCTGATCATCAGATTTTTACAAATGTTATTCTTTTGTTTATCTTCATCTTTTTTGCAAATAAATTAGGCTTGTTGCAATTATCAAAAGCTTACATCATCTATTGTCCGTTTACTTTCTGAAGAAAATCTAACTGATCTACAACGAGTCTTCTGTCCAGGTCGTATAATATTTATTAATGTACCACAAACTGATAATTCATCATTGTATAATAAAGTAACAACAAAACAACCCAATTGGTTAGTACCGGGTGTTTTGGTTAATTTAACAAAGAAAAAAATCAAGAATGAAAGTGAAATACAAGTGAGTTTTACCGATTTATTTTAGATCATATGTAAAAGACAAAATGGACTTTACCACTTTCATCAGTTAACCTGGCATGTGTACATTGGTTCATGGTGCTTAGTTCTCACATTAAATTGTTAACGTGAATTCAAGAATAGTAGGGTTAGTAAGTGTTAGTGGTAATACAAAAGACTAGCTATAAAAGATAGGATTCAAGAAAATATGAATTAGTGTAATAGAAAAAAATCATGAGGGATCTTCTAACACTCACTCTGTGTCCACTGGTGCTAATTAGTTGAAAATCAATCAGTTAGTCAATTTATTCCGATAGATCTTAATTAGAAAATGTAATAGTCTGGGCTCTATCCTCTTGACAATATTAATTTAATCATCTAAAATACTTTGTTTTCCTTTTTTAATGCCAACAGATCATTGTTTGATTGGTTTTGCGCACTTGATTCTAGTATTTGTTGTTCCTTCCTTGTAGTGCGATATTATCACTTGGGAATTGGCTGATTTACCAGATCATTCTAGATCATTTAAAAAGTGTAATCATCAATCGATAAATCAGACCGTTTCAGTGAATGATGTAAATGGTAGAAAACAAGAAAATATTAACAATAACACTACTCAATTCAATGAATTTGATGAAGAGGATATTTTGAAAGAAGGTGAAGATGCTCAACTGTCTAATACACCATACCCTCCACAATTAATGCCTGTTTATACACCTGAGGTAAGTATATATATATATATATATATATATATATATATATATATATATATATATATATATATATATATATATATATATATATATATATATACCCTGAATGCATGGTCATCAGCGTGTTGCCCTCCTCTGACTTGGTCGACTATACACATCACGATTACTGACAAGAACTTTGAAAATCTCTTTCTAAGTTTATTGTGACAATTCTCTTACTTACGTATGTCACTACCACGAAACACATGTTCAAGATGCACAGTTCTTTATAGGAACATCTAATTAGGTAATAAATCACATCGCTCGTTAGTTTTTTTTATGGTACTATCGAATAATTTACAGGTGCTTGGCCACTGAGTGGGGACCAGTATCATATATGTCAAGTCCTTTTTGATAAAATTCTATTGACCAATTTGCAATATGGTCACTAATTCAAATGAAGCTGAGTGACACGTGGTCGATTTCAACGGGAAGCATGAATTCCCTCAAAATTACTGGTACACTATGCTAACGAGTGTCAGATGGCACGAAATCTATTTTCATGGTATCCTGCTGACTACCTTGCTTACTATCCAACAATCTTTGTTTCACAAATCGACAAGTAAAATGCCTCATATTTTCATAATTCCACATGAAATGAACTTCAAACGTTAGGCACATTTGAAAAAAATGTATCCATCAAACATTTATCTTTCAATTGACTGTCATACAGAGTTCATTATCATTAGTTCTATTGTATGCATATTTATCACTATAAATTTATTTATTTTTTCTAAAATATGGTATTTTCGTAAGAAGTTTTTATATTTGTTCACAAATGTTTTGCAACGGCTGATCAACTAACACTCGGAAATTTTGTGACATTAGTAAATAATAATTGTTTAATTATACCCACCATATTTCGCTCGTATATGAAGGAAATGGGAAGTCGAGAGTCAAATGGTGATATTTGAGATGGCACGAGACCGTTCATATTTAGTTGTATTGAAGCAATTCAGTACTTATTATTTCCATTGTTTATGATAAATGATCATGCACACGTGGCAATAAATAAAATACTGATTGATATGTGATATAATTAGACGCAATTCCTCTTAGCACACATAAATGAACTGATATCAAAAAATGACCATTAGACTAGTGCCTTTTTATTTCTGGTACAATAGTCTTCTTTTATACAAAATATCTTCAACAAATATTGTCCTTAAAAATAATACATTTAACCCAAGCCAGCTTTCATCGAGAGAATAACTTTTGGATTTTTGCTTTAAATTCAAAATTGAATGACATTTCAGTAAAGTTATACTATAGGAATGGGTGGGTTGGAATTAAGGACGTGGTTTTTGAGGTTTTTGCACCATACTTAATTATCATGTTGTTAAATTTGTTGCCATTCTCTGTTTTTATTCTCTTCTCATTCAGCCCATCTTTTGTGCATTGCTTTACATTACTTGTTTATATTCAGTAAAAAAAATTTTCTAATAATTTCTAAACGTGACACACATTTATCTGTTTAATATTAGAAAATATTTGTATAAGCTAATAACGTTCACTGTATTTATTATTATAATTACTTTCTATCAACCCTTGTAACAGTGATTTACAGTTTTGTACATTTCCTAAGCCTTTATTTAAACTCAACAGTTTCCATATTTGCGTGATCTTAGACCTCACTTTGGTTGTTGATGAAGTGTTATGAACATTAGGCACAGATACTTTAGTGAACGAGAACACCGGCGGGGATAATCAAATGTATTTTAATACAACATCATAGAATATATTGGTAAAAATCTGAGAACCGTACAGTAAATACTTCATTTGCAAGATATCCATCAGTTGTCTCAGATTATGTTGTTCCTTCGTTTCCATGCCAATCACTCTCTGTTCTTGTTCTCTTCGGTTTTCTCAACCTTCTGTCTTCAGGCATTTCACTTTCGATTGGTGCTACATACTATTTATATCTGTCGATACCAGTAGCACACACCACAATACCAACTGTCATTTACGCTATTGTAGTTATTCTTAGACGTTTTTTCAGACGTACAGACGCATTAATCGCCGCAGTTACATCAAGAGTTAATGTCTGTAATCAATTTATGTCGACTCAATAATAAATAAAGCATTCTTTAAATAACTTATTGCTTTTTGGACTTCTATTTAGTCATTAAACGATAATAATATGTTCTTTTTCTCTTTTTAACTATTCATCAAATACCATTAAAATTAAGATTTAGCTAATTCTATACCTGTATTTTATCGTATATCAGTTTAGTGCAATTGTTGCTTTCATTTATAAGTTGAACAGTTCTGATACGTACAATTTAGCGAACTGGATTATGAAATTATACTTATTATCATACATAATTAAATATTCTATTATTTAATCAAATTTGTTATTTTGGAATTCTTTCTCAGGTAAAATTCATAAAATGTATTGTCTTTTCATGCTTCTACATTTATTTTTCATTATAAATTCCACTAGTCAATGGAAGATGGTTATGCTCGTTTAACGTTATTATCCAATTTGTCTATTCGATCATTTGTACGAATTACTGATCATGTTTTTACTGTAAAACAATATTGTAATAATACTGTAAATAATGCAAATATAACGCCATCAGAATTATTACTTCGTGGTATTAAACGTCATCGTCAGCAAATAGCAGCTAAACAAGCTGGTATGCATTTAGTGATTGGTTCAAACTCAACTGCAAGTGATTGTGATCCCCTAGTTCTTATGGATGAATTAAATGCGAATTTGTTTAATCTTGTAATTTCATTGACGCCGGAATCTTCTATGTCACCGATGTTTGGTCTACCAGTTAACTGCCCTACTAAAGTTGATTTAAGAACATCATTGAAATTCAAAGGAATTTCAGAGGAGGTAATTATCATGTTGCACAGTAAAATTTATATATATTAAAGATTCCAATTGTGAAAATTAGAACAACACATATAAGCGAACAATTGTTTTCAATTAGATCGTCATCAGGCTTTATTCTAACATAAATGAATATTTATATGAAAATGTTAAACCAATCAAGGCAATATGGGTCAATAATCACAATGAAATAGAATAAGTCACCACACATAATACGTAAAAATACATATTGATAGTAGGAAGACAAGTGTACTGATAGTCGTAAGAATATAATAAAATGCGATGACAAAAGTCTTATCAATAGTTAAACATTGATGAATAAAAAAGACATGGCCGTTATCCTGTCTTTCATTTCGTCACAAGTTTGCAAATTTTTTCTTTTCCTAGAGAGCGGTGGCTTTATGGTTAAGTCCCAGGTTCAGTTCCCGCTGCACGTAATTGGGTTTAAACATGCGGGTAGTATCCCCAGGAACATGGTGAATAAGTCAATTTGTTAATCGAAATTTTTTTTACTATTATATAAACCACGTTTATCCTTTTTCTATTGTTTCCATATTTTTGTTTATATAAAATATTTGCACTGCGGTTTTGCAGTAGTTACTCAAGTACAGTTTTGATTAGTCATCACATTTATTATTGGAGTGGTGACCTTTTTCACTAGGGAATTCGTCTTCCAGCCACTAGTTTCCAAGTTTGAGTCCTGCCATATTTGCTTCAGTTTCAGCAACGGGGTTGTTTACCTAGTCCTCACATAAAAGATTTGGCTCAATTTTTGGGTGCATAAACCTGTCAGTGAGTTACATCATCATTGTCAAGCTGGATTTTGAGTTCATAGTCTACCAATCTGTTGAAATATGAGTGCTTTAATCTCATATCGCTTATAGAGTTCTTCTTCAAACCTTCATAATACAACTGTCACTATCCATAAATAACTTATTTGTGATCATTTAAATTTTTAGGATGCTTGTGTGTTTGATGAACACGCTTTACTCAGTGATGAACTAACAACACCACTTCTAACATCGGTTATTACTCAGCGTTTGGCTCCAATTAGTTGTCCTGATCTTGTAGCACATTTGGAACTGATTCATCGTACCTGTCGTCGAAGATGGGCTGTAAAACGAATTGAAAATAGTTTATCTAATTCGCAGTTACAATTAAATACGGAGTATGTGAGACGTTTGTGTGTTCTTGAAGAATTGGGTTTTATCGATTCAGCAACACATACTGGTTGTTTGAGTTTAAAAGGTTAGACATTTTTGTTATTTTTATCATATACTGTATTTTAAATTGTAAGGAAAATACTTTTTTGAGTGGTATGAAATCATACACATCGCTTCGCAAAAAATTTACACATTAATTGATCGTAAAAAAAGGTTGACTAGATGAACAGTCGCTTAACGGTTTAGATACTTAGTTTTCAATCGGTACGTCGTTCCAGGTTCAGATCCTGTTTTATCTAATTCATTTTGAAGCCGTTTTGACGATATCTTTAGTCCTCCTTCAAATGGTATAGTTCAAATTCAAATGATATAAGCCTGTATTTGATAGGTGAGTTACATCATGATGAATATTTCAATAATAAAGTATCTTAGCGACTGACTATCAACATCACTAATTCACTAAATCAGTATGAATAATGTTTAATCATTCATTTTATTTGATGTTAGATTTAAAATATCTAATTGGAAACGTATTATTAAATCAAATGTTTATCGATAGATTGTTACTTTATCCGTTTATCATAAACTTATGTTAGTATTTTCTTCCCGACTTCTTGTAACATACTGTACGGGCAATAAGAGAAATTATCATAAATCATTATGTCATACAAAAGAATGACAATGAAAAGTTGTTTGATATCAAGCTGTTTTCTATGTGGGTTTTTTTTACCGGATTTCGATTTAATGAAACTTTTATCCTCTGTTTACATCATTTCACGAAGATCAATCAATTGTTTTATTATTGACCGTATTGATGATGCGATGGCGAAATATAGTGATTGATTCAGATTTTTGACATTTTTATTCAATGCTGCTGTCGTTCAGAAAACATTTAAAAGTAATTACTCGTAGAATACTGTATATTCTACGTTTCGTGAATTTTTTCAGATTGTTGTTCAACATGTCCCAAGAGAATGTCACATACACTGGAGTAAATCAAGTCTTATTCCAATATTTTATCCAACTCTTCTAATCAGTACTGCCTTTACTGTTCATATGACTTTGCTATACCTGTATTTTTTCCATACTATTTTCATTCTGTCAAACCAACACTATTTAAACTTAAAAGTAGTCAACATGAAACTCTGCTTGACCTAGTTTTCGTGCTATGATGTATATTCGTTCCTGAATCTTTTGTTATTGCTTACGTGAAGCGTTCGACTGATATATTGGAATTGATAACCACATATCAGATCTGAAAAATTGTTTGTAAATCTTAGTTTTTTCTCAGCCTCGGAATAACTGAATCTATTCGTCTTTTTACTTCTTTTTTGTTGCATTAATTCAGGTCGAATTGCTTGTGAATTGACAAAAATGGAAGTGCTAATTACTCAACTATTACTTAATGGTTCATTCACTGATTTATCGGCTCCTGATTTAGCAGCTGTTTTATCGTGTTTTGTATTTGAAACACGTTCTACTACTGATACAGAACAATTACAACAACACGATGGACAATATTTACACAGTCTACTTGGATCTCTAACGAATTTTACTAATGATGATTGTAATCAAAATCATCTGTCTAATAGTTGTTCAGATGTTACTTCTTATCCTTCAAATCTTATACCTGCATTACAAAAGATTGTACTATCTGCTATAGAGGTTTGTTCACTTTTGGTTTTCTGTTATTGGGCTACTTTGTTTTAAATGATTTATATCTGTTTTATAAATTATTATCTATGATATTTCATGGCAATGATGTGGTATAGTTTTTTCGAAAAGTAGTATCCTGATAATGTTTAAGTTAAACGTTTAGACCTTTAAATGTTCTTTCAGCGGTCTAAAGGTTAAGCGTTCGTGTGTGAAACCGAAGATTTAATTCCCGTGTGCTGGGTCGTGGATTCACAGTTTGTATGAAAAAGCTGTCCAGCGTTTTCAGGTTTTCAGTGGTGGTTAAGATCAGTTTGAGTCTTTAATTGTTATTAGCTACAGGTGATATTATTGGATTGATTGTAATAGAATTATGCTTTGATGAACTGAAATTTAAACCAGATTACTATTTTTGGTGACTACGGACCATATGAGTTGGACTAAATGAAATAAACTCTAAAGTGTGAGTTGAATTACTATCTGACTTGTTAAACTATAACATCATCTTTAAGTCCTTCACTATTACAAGTACCTGTAATTAATGAACAAGTTTTATGCAATTATTCAGATTGTAGTATGCTGAAAAACTCTTTTGTACTAGTCAACATTAGGATGTACGTTATGTATACTGTTTATTCAGTTTTATTGTTCATAGCTCAACTTATCAGACAATTTCATAATATTCAATATATTTCTACACCCGTTCGCGTTTACTTCAATTTTATGTAATACTTGTGAAGTGATTGTTTATCGGTTAAAATACCCAGCTTTTAACCTGCTTTGCTGATTTTTGTTTGATGAGCCATGTTATAGTGTCACTAGTCGTAACCTATCGCAGAAACAAATAATAGCTTTTAAGTCAATTCAAGTAAATAGTTAGATGAGTTATATAAAACAAATTTATTCTGACTTCAGGAGACATTCCTGGATTTCTAGTGAGAAGTCTTTACCAGTGGAGTTCAACCAGGTCTGTTGTGAGATAGGAACTCACTGAAGACAATGGTGTACGGTGGTGCAACTTCGTGGATTGGTTGAAGTTAGACATTAACACCGTTGGATGCCAGCTCAGTGGTCTAGTGGTTAAGTGCTCGCGCGCGAAGCCAGTAGGTCCTGGGTTCGATCCCCAAGTGGTGCGGGGTCGTGGATGCACACTGCTGAGGAGTCCCATACTAGGACGAAACGGCCGTCCAGTGCTTCCAGGTTTTCAATGGTGGTCTAGCTTCAATTGACTCATGATTTCAACTTGTGCAAGTTATTCTTATCATTGCTGTGCAATTTTAAGCATGTTGTTTTTTATCCATATATATATATATATATATATATATATATATATATATATATATATATGAGTAGGGTTAGCTGATAAATTATTAAATTATTTTTTATATTCAAGGGCATTTCATCAGATATACTTCCATTAAATAAGTACATTTTAGGAAGAAACATAAATGTTACTGGTCTAAAATTCTATACATGGAAAGTTTAAAGCTGTCTGCAGTCGTTCCACGTAGGTACTTACTACTTACATCTGTTACCCCTCATGGGATCATAGGCCACCGACCAGGATTCTCCAAGCAACTCTGTTCCGAACTCTTCTTTCCAGCTGTTTTCAGTTGGTATTCATTCTTTTGATATGTGTCTCCAACTTCCGACTGAATGTGTTCTTTGACCTCCCTCTTTAGATTTTACTTTCAGGATTCCAAGTTTGAGCCTGCTCCGTAACGCAGTTTGATGATTTCTACAGTGCATTTCCTATCCTCCTCCAGTGTGTTTTCCTGATTTCTCTTCAACTGGAAGCTGGTTGCTAATGGTCTACAGCCAACGGACGTTAAGTATCTTGTGTTGACAACTGTTTAAGAAATACTTGTACTTTTTATGATTGTTATAGTAGTTTTCCTATTTGTACGGAGCTGAAACTTGGAGAACAACACATTTAAACAGTATCAAATCTGATTTATTTTGTCTTTCTTCTTTTCCAGCTAGAGCAATTACAAACTAAATATGGTCTTACTGATCCATCTATAGATACAAGGATAACTCTACAAGCTGTAAATGCTGTTTTTGCTTGGGCTCAAGGTTATTCATTCTCATCATTGGTTAGTATGACTAGTGTTCCTGAAGGTCACTTGGTTCGTGGCTTATTACAACTCGATGAACTGTTACATCATATATGTAATGCTTGTCATCATCTGGGTGATAAAAATTTAAGTTTACGAATGAAGGAGGCAAGAAGTTTAATATTACGAGATCTTGTATGTGCTCCAAGTTTGTATACTGCAGACGATCTTGTGTGAATTATTTCATTTCTACAGCAGTCTTATTTTGTTGATGATATATACGCATATACATACCTTTATACTTTTTTATATTACTACTTATAGTTACACTTGCTATTTATTTCAACTGAAATACTTTTCATCGAGCAGATTTATACTTTTAATATCAATGCATTTCAAGGTTATTTACGCAGCTAGTTTTTTTTGAATGTTGTTCTGTTCCCCTTCTTTTTATATTATTGCTACTGAATATTTTTCTGTTTCTGCCTGGTTTAATTAACTGTATACAATCTTTTACAACTGTATGCCTATTTACATATTTTTTTTGTTATTTAGCTATTTTTACTGACTTTCTAAAGAGGTTACTCTATTTGTTGTAATTTGATATAATGTTTGTATTGTTTCTTTTTGAGCATAGTCTGTTTGCTTTCCTTTAGTTTAGTCGTTATAATCTATTTAAAAGATCAACATTTTAACTTGCTCAATTAACGAATGATATAATGGCAGCAATGCAATAAACATTTTTTACTGAACTGATTCATTTTCTATGATTTGATATACTTTGAAAAAAGAATTAATTTTCGGTGTTAAGCATAAATTGAGATTGGTTGTGTGCAGAGTTATTTTACACTGAATATCAATAAATCTATACCAACACAAGGTTAATGTGCCGAGAACTGAATTTGGCACAAGAATTGTTAGCTTGACAATGATTTGAAGTGTGTCATCTCAAACATAAGTGTTGCGTGGGCGGGAGCAAGTAGTGATTGATTGTTTTTTCCGACAAGCTAGTGGAAAGTCTGATAGATTTTTTATGTGTCGTACATATTTTCCTAGTTTGTACTTGCTTGATTATTGATTAATGCACGTACTAGTCAGGCGAATTAGGCGATCTTGATTTCAGTTGTGTTGAGGCTTGGTAGAATGGTTGCTGGTTAGATATCTAACTATAGAGTGAGTTGTATACATAGACAAATGAGGATTTGTATGGAACATTGGAGAACTTGATTCAACCCACACTGTTCTTGATGTTACAGTTAAGTAAGCACAACTAGCAAATCGTCGTAGCTCTATGAACTTTCAAATAATGTAAGAGCGATCGAGCCAAGTTTACTTTTTGAATCGCAGAGTATGAGGTAGTTGCGATTTTCAAATTGATTTAAGATTCTTGAGTTTATTCTTTCATTGGCACTTTAAGATTCAATATACATTAATCACAAATTAGCCGACTTTTGCATAAGTCTGTCTACATATCTTCCCTTGAAGCCATTCAGGGGGTTTGGAAAATGGAGTGCTCTTGGTCGTAGCTAAAAATATCATCCCTTAATATGAGAGTTACGTTAGACTTATCCCGTTTGTCACTTTTCTTAAAATACGGATCCGATTATGTATATCACAAATATCTCTGGCCAAAACATTTCACGACTGTCTCTGATACTAGATGCGACTACTGTTCGTCTATCATTATCTGTATTTACAAATTCATTTGGTATACCGATATAGTCTTGTGGAAATAAACATCTCATTGGATTGATTCGAATCAGTCACTAGAAAAAAGTGGAGTCTAGCGACTGAGGACTCGTCTTTTTTGTCGATCACATGATGGTATTATCAACTTAATCGTAAGTATAGTTGGTTTGTTAGAATGATGTAGATAGAAAATCGACGTTCCTAGTGTGCGTTTTAATGGAAATAAATTACTAGTTCATGCCAGTGAGTAGGATGTGTCTAGCCGTTTTGGTGACCGTAAATGAAGCTTTCAAGCGTTATTCAGAGGTCTCCGGAAAATAAGATCCATGTCGGTGAGTCTGCAGCTTTCTTGTTTTAATGTTCAAGTGTTTGGGGTATCAAGTATCCTCAAGCACTTTTACACTCACCTTGTAGGTGAGTGTTGCACTGGCGATTTTGTTTCAAGCTTAATTCTCACTCCAGCAAGTTGTGTGACTCAAGTGACTGGATTTACTTCCAATCTGTTAGTTACAGTTTCCTGTCCGCACACTCACTTTTAGCTTGAACTGGTATAACTATCAGTCTTTGTTTTATGGTGTCATGCGGCCTAATTTTCTTGTATATAAATAACGTATGTTCAAAATATACGATTCATATATCGGAGGCTGATATTTGTGTTCTGGATTGAACGAGCTGATTTAGACAAAAGCTACCATAAAGAAGAGCAATAAGGACTCAGAGTTAACAGTATGTTGATCGTGTTGTTTGACGCATCCTTAGTTTAGCACAGGGACAAAGGTCATAAAAGTCAGTATTCTAATTGTCACGTGATATTTAATGAACCACAAGACAACGACGAGGAATAACTGTTTATATTAGTGTAAATTAGTGCTATCACCCTGTCGATTTTAAAACAAAGTAACTGGGTAAGTGATGGTCCTAAATATCCCCATGACTTTAGGTGTACATTATTACCCAAACTAATGTTACTACCCGTTTATCCAAACAATAATTACTCACTCAGTATTCAGATCTAAATTGCAATCATCAGATAGTTTGATAAACCATATAAGAGTATTACCAAGTGCAATAATTAAATAATCTTATTAATACAGGAATATTATTATATCCCTTTGGGATAGAGCTTGTACAGATTGTCCGAAAGATAATATTTAATTTTGTTATGACACGAAATTTTTTCAATTCTGAAAGAGTGCTTTCATTCACAGTCAAAATGTGTAATTATAGTCAAGCAATTCAAATGGGATTGTTCTCCTAATTTCACAGGTCACATCATACTGACTCCTGAATAGTTCATAACGCCGGGAGATGTATGTCGACGTCTTATCAGTTACATTGACTACGTTGCAATCACAGAAGGTCGGATTTGAAGAGGTAGAGTTTACCGTATTGTGACATGTATATTCACTGATTTTTGTAACGACTGTACAAAAACCACATTTTTTCCTATTTTTCACACTAAATGTAACCGAAATTATATTCAATATCCATTGACCGTCATTATATATACATTTTTTATTGCATAACTATTCAGTAACTATATAATATGTATATTAATATTCTTTTTATTACAAGCTTCCAATTGACCTATTGACTACTACTATACGGTTTTCTATTCTTAAGTTTCCCCCAATTTATTAGTTACAGTATCTGACATTCACATCCACTTTCGTCTGAGATCTCAGCTATTCCACTGTTCAGCGAAAATGAAAGCGAAAGGCGATCAAACAGGGAAGATAGTATTAATTTTGGATTTTTATAAAAACCAAACTACCCAAAATACAGAGGCGTTTTCCTTTACTGAGCTTAATTTTATGATTTTGATGGTTTAGAACGCATCAAGACTGATGTTTTCGATTTTATAAATTTTAATTTAAGTATTCCCAAAAATGTCGTTGCTCGTGAAAAGATATCCTTGCACCTGTGCCCTTAAAAAGTACAATTGGTCTTCTGTTATTGCACCCTTTGGACTTAAAGAAATGACTATTTGAATGTTTTCTTTTTATTCTGAACTCCATTAAACACCAGTTTTCAGTTTCTGTATTTTCATCCAAGCTGTCTGTAAACCTCCTATTATTGACTGGGCAATGTGACAAGCGTAGTTATTAACACCCAAGTTGTCTATTCACGGTGGATTGTAGCATGCAGCGAGGTGAGTGTGTAGTGGTAAATAAATAACCAAAGTAAATAGCTGTGTAATTCTTAGACATTGGATGCTGACCACATTAGTTTTAAAGGACTCACCCAACTGAGGGCGCTCGGTTACACATCCGCACCAGATCACGAGTGGGAACACCGAGCTCAACATCCTCTACAATCGCTAGCCAGATTAGATCAGACGATCCTCGATATATTGATAGTCTAACAAATATATCTTCGAACCTCCTCGCTTCTGTCTTCTGATTTAACTTGGTGGGTACGATTGACATTAGGTTTTACTGGTTAAAGCGTTGTCAAACTCCAAATACCTGTGGCATTATCACTGGTGAGCCCGACGTGATCTGGTACACTAGATTGCAAACTGTGAGTCTGTTCTTTTTTGAATCTCATAAAATATTGCTTCATTTTAATTTTTATAAATTGTGATATTTTTTCTGTTTTTGGATATATATATATCTTTCATTTGTTCAGTCTCGTACTTGATATTTCCCCATGACTGAACAGACACCCAAAGTACTTAAGTTAAAGACTATGTCCCCACCTTCGTTCCAACTGATGCCCTTCTGGCAAGACAACATCGAAGCCTGATTCTGCTACGCAGAAGCCGACTTCTACGAACACGGAGTGAACGACACACGTGCACTTTTCCTCGCGGTAGTCAAGGCACTACCGAGCGAATTCAACAGGTACATAACACCTAGTATAAAAATAATATCTTTCTGCATGTGCGGGTACACACCGTTTTTACAGGCATGATCTATAAATTACAACATTTGTTGGTTCACAAAAGGTTTCCCAACTTATTAAGTTTATAGTTGTTATAAAGTGAAATCGTTGAGCGCTTGCTGCAAATTATGACCTTGAGAGAACGCGTACATTAAGTTTGTTCCAAACGTCAGACGTTTTATAGCTGTGCTCTCAGAGCAAGATTCTGAAGAAGAAAATAAGAGAAACAGAAGAGTAGCAAGGCACTTGGATATGAACGCCAAACGTTGCTTAACATAGTGTAGTAGAACGGACAGAGGTATAATAAATCAGAATAAATTCATATTTGTTGTGGATGCGGAAGGATAGACCAATAGTTATTATTTTAAGTTCAATGGTGTCCTTGGACTTCAAATGGATATTTCCTACTGGTCGATATCTGTCCACTTGTTGAATATTGTACAAAATGTTGTTTTCTATTTTTGTGTTACGATGTGGTATGTTTGGTTAGTATATAAATAGAGTATGTCTGAAATACAATGATTCATAACTCAGAGGCTGTGACTTGCGTTCTGGACTCAACTGGCTGGGATAGACATGGAATCGGGACCAATCGTAACTCTAGGTCGTCCATTGCGTTCGTACGTGTTTACGTGTCATTGAATCGATCGATAAATACGCTGTTCTCTAGTTTTTTCAGTCAAGGACATAACAATTAGCACAGGGTAAAAATCGGCCCAACTTAAAGTCACAACAATATTATGTCTTGTTAGTGAAATGAAGTCAGAGGCTCCATATTAGAGAATGTACTAATAAAGAACAATGAGTTGTGATGTTTAACAAGTTGGAGTAAGCTCACATGAAGGAAGGGAAGTCATGGTTGGTACAAGGGAAGCGGTCTATTAGAAGGGTGTGTATATAGAGGGTGAAGTGTTAAGAATACTAAGGACTACATCTTTTATTGTCTAACTTTTTTTCCTTTTTTGTTTGTCCGACGCCAGCCACACAATCCTAGTGTAAAAATCCGAGTTAGCATGTTATAGGTTGTCTTAGTAGAATAGCTAATCCAGCATGATATTGAAAACATGAGTTTGAGTGGTGAGCGTAGGAAGACAATCTATATCACAGATTGATTGACTTATTCTCAATCATGAGGAGCCTGATACATAAAAAATGTTCTGTCCCCACAAACACGGGT